GAAAGCTATTTTGATATATACACACATTTGGATATATACACACAATATATACAATATATATATATATATATATATATATATATATATATATATATATGAATAAGAGAGACAATAATGCAGGATAAGTTATATTAATTATAATGTAACAGTTCGGGGATGTTGTTCGGCCCGACCGCACACAGTTCCCAGCGAAATTATAAATACTAAGTAAATAGCTGCCTTTCAGCATCAAATAGTATTAGCAACCAAATGTTGAGTATCGCATTTCAGAGGCCAAGAGAAAAATAGTCCCTGTAAATGCATGCAAACAGCATTGGGTTTCCCTGCAAGATCTCGCACCATCTCATTCATTCACATCGCTCATGACGTCCACCTTAATTGTCCGGTTGCGAAAGCTTGCATTGCCCGAAACCGATCATTTGTGGCGGTTCTTCTTTCGGCCATCGCCACCGAGCTAAAAGCTGAAATGTGGAACAAAATCTAACCTGTCACTTTGAGTACAGAGATATGGAACGCCCGGGTCAATGTGAACAGCAACTGTACATTATCGTTGAATAATGTACACCCGTGACTCATCACTATGAACCAATCAGAACGCTGGATTTCATCTACCCGTATTATAAATATGGATACGACATGCTGCGGCAACTGCCGCGGTTAGCAAAGCAGTTATCTCGGCATGCAGATGTGCAATAACAAATTAATGTCTGTGAGAGTCACTGTTTGTTGCTGTAATTGGTTTATATTTCTATTAATAATAATATTTGTAATACTACTTCTAAGTCATATGTCTATATATCATATATATATATATATATATATATATATATATATATATATATATATATATATATATATATATATATATATATATATATGTGAACTTAAACCGGAAGCCATTGTATCACTTCTCACACGTGTGTGTGTTACACACGTTTTGAAGAGTTGAAGTTATTTACCGATTTAGCCACAAGAGGGAGTATATGAGCACTTCTATCAGGAGTAAACCAATGCAGCGCACATTTGGGCTTTTGAGCACTTTTTAATATCACCCCAGGTATACAAAGGTGTGTGAAACAGTATTTTTTTCTCGAACTCTATCTTCTCAAAATCTATCTACCATCTATTGTGAAATGTAATTTGTTTGCGTTTGTTTGTTTGTTCATTCACACAATGGATGATGTGTAATTGTCTAGTTATTAAATTAATTCTAAAATCTTAAATGAAGTCTAATTTAACTTATAAATCTCCAATCAAATTGCGATTGAGTGTTTTTGACACGTCATTGTTTCATTGTTAAGTATTTGAATGTGATTTGTGTTATAGCCTACACAACTAATACTTTAAAAATAACATTACCTATTACATTATTATTATTACAGTATACCATACTATAAGTACTAGTTCCAAATTGCAAAGGGTTGAACTGATACCGTAACCGGTTGCTTTTACGTTCTTTTTCCTTTTCGGGGTCTTCACGTCCACCATTTGACTTCCGTTTGACCCCGGTAAACCCCTCCCCACACACATACACACCCCTTGGACACCCCGCGGTAAACGGTGAGCCATTATATCGGTGTTTTATTAGTAAAACAATTGCAACTGAAAACACTAGTACTCTTAAAGGTTGTATTGTATTGTTACATGTTGGCTAATTATAAAACAAAAATGTCACATGTTTGGCAAAAAAATAAAAAAATGTCGAGGCACCACTGCCGCAAAGTCGAGGCAGCTGTTGTAAAGTCGTGGCATCTGCCACCTCGCCGCAGCAACTCAATCTGCAGGTTGCCAGTGCCACGATTTGCGTTAGCTCCTACTGAACTATCGTGAATATTTACTGGATTCAGAATAGTTACTGATATCATTTTTAGACATTAATATATGCCTTTTGATTGTGCACTATTACATCCTGGCTTGCTTGAGTTCCTGTTGCTATTTCTCACTGAAGTGTAAAAAAAAGACACTTGTGAACACCCCTCTCAGGATTATTTTAGGAAACAAGCAACTTTCCAGGAAGAATTCGCTGCTCTGTGTGGCTTTCAGTAGTCCCTGCGTCGTAGGAGCCACATTTAGATTCCCCCAGCTTGCCGCAGACATTAATTAATCATGCACAATAAACAGATTGATTCCCCCTTTAATTCACACCCGCTGCTCATCCTTGCAGCGTTCTCCTGCTCCTGGTTCGTGAGCCGAGTCGGAGAGACGTGTCACCTTGTAAGACACACGGAATGCGTCGCCTTGAAGGAGGGAAACAGAGAGAGCGGGAAGATAACACAGCCAGCCAGCACTAACCGATCAGAGCACTCCAGCAGAGATATGACCCACATAGGCCGACGCCGGTTCAATCAGCCCGCTACTGGCAACGTGGGAGGGACAGGAGGAGTGTCAGGTGTCTTCAGTTCATTTTAAAGTAAATCCAGTTGGTACTACGAATAAAAGACCAATGTGCAACCACGTATGCGTGATTGCATTTTTTACAAATCCACTACTTGTACATGCAAATCGTCAACGAGTGCAGATTTTTGGAGCGATTCATTCATGTTTTTAAAACTGTTGTTTAACCTGTAAATACTTTTACACGTAACAAAGAAATCAAACTTTATCACGGCTTTCTGTCACGGAATGAGTTCAAGGTTTTATTTTGTAGTTTCTTGCCTCTTGTGTCCCTTGGTTACCTTCACTTCCTGCCCTGCTGTGTTTCCCCTGTGAGTTTGATTGTGTCTGCGTTGTCCCTGATTGTTTCCTCCTGTGTCCAATCACCAGTGTGTTTAAACCAGGTGTGTCCCTTGTCTCCTTTTCGTTTTGTTAGTCAATGTTGAGTCGGTGGTGTTTTCGTGTCCACTTAAGTGCAAAGGTCTTCAGGTCCACAAGTACTGCCACATAGAAGTACTGCTTCTTGAACCAACCGCGTCAGATGCTGAGGTGTTGCCAATCTCGCCATGCGCCAAGGAATGGCAGAGGCAGGAAAAAACAAATGGGAAGGGTAACTTGTCATCCCTCGTGAGGGATCTAGCACACCCCACCCAGGGACTCATTAACAATGGTTATTGCTGAGCAACGGTAAATCCCTGGTCCCCAAAGGCGGTTCTTCCCGCCACGCTACATTAAGCAGGTAGTTCTGTGTAAATGTTGAGTCAACAGACCAAGTAGAAGAGGCCAATGTCTCAGCGAGAGTGTACCTATACGCCACAATACCCATGATGCCAGGGGCCAGAATGAGCCCCAACAACACATGCTTGATTAAGAGAAAACCTATTCTATCTATTGGGGAGTGATCGGCTTGAGGACAAAGGAAATGGTCTGATTTCTGGTTGCCTTCTCTTTTATGTACAAACACGCACTGCTGGAGCGCTGGCAGTATACTGACAGGAGGATTGGATTGCAGGAACAATCCTGCAGAGAGCAGCCACATATAAATCCTGTTTTGCAATTCTTCCAATTTCATTTTTAGCCAGAATTTACTTGAGACTAGAGTCTGGGAATAATAGATAGATGAATGCAGGATCACCACCTTCTCATCCCCATGTTCACAAACACCGATGCTTTGTCAGGCCTCTTCTAGTATGACACCAATACACAAGCCACCCCTTGTTTGTGATAATGTCACTGCGTTTGCGTTCGCTTTGTTTGTATACTTCTTGTAAACCGTGATGTTTTGCTGACCAAACCTTAGCATGGCCTTTTTTCATTTTGATTCCTTGCTTTCCGAGGCGGATGCTTCACTAGAGATGAGGACGTCTGAACATCAGTGTGTCCTTCTGGGTTATTGGATTGTCCTTGCAGATGGACCACACTGGGAGATAAACGTGATCTTTGGGCCTCGGGGGGGGGGGGGGGGGGGTTCAGACTACCCTGCCTGCTGGTGTTGCTTCCATCATGTCGTCCAGAAACAAGTGGACTTTTAGGCTGAACCATCTTGTCCGTGGGGACTACACCACATGGGTTTATCATAATCGCCTCTCTTTTGATGAATCTAATCATTTGAACGTTCTCTATACCAAACCAGGAGCCGAGCTGCTGCTGCTGATCTGACCCTTGTGTGCACTAACCAGCAGGCCCAAACTGGAGTATGAATCTTGTATTGTGATACGTCTTGTTTTCATCTACTATTCTACTGTTGTGGCACCGAGGTATAAATTACATTCTGCAAGGCACATGGTTCCAGATGAAAGATGTTACAGCAGCTTTTTTACCTCCGACCCAAACATATGCCTGTTACCACAACTTGCTCTCAACCTAACCTTCAAGTGACCACTGAAGGTGGGGCACACAGGTGCTTTTACGTTGTGCTTAGACTTAAACAGTTGATTAGAGTGAAACTAATTCATCAACTGATCCTCAGGGGTCAGTCCTTTATGGATTGCAGAGTTAGTCTTAAGGGGACAGTTCTTGCCTAAATATAAAACAGTGGTGCTATTTATCAGTCCTGATTGTTTTGATTGGCTGTCTGCCTTCTTCCATTAAAATGGGACTATATGGCACATAGAAATATGTATTTGACTAACAGCAGTGTCTTATTCATCAAATTGTGACGTGGTTACTTAAGATAACCCTCTGCTTTTGTTACGAGCAGTTTCCTGTATGAACTATTTTCTTTCTTTATAGTCACATTATATTTGAGAGAAGAAAGGCATTCACACGGTCGATATTTCCCAATGTAGTCGACACACTGAACAATCTGAACTGATAAATAGCACTTCAGCGTACAGGAACAATATATTTTTGGGGTATTTATTGGTGAATTGTCCCTTTAATGAGATGCAGAACTGTGGCATATATACTAACATTCATCTCTAAAAGTTTCCATTCCTTTAGGGCCAGGATTCACAAAGGTTTAGGCAGATCTTTTAATCCCAGAATGAAATTGAAATGTTATACCACCTTCCTAAACAGTAGAAATGAATATCTGAAGTGAAATCACTGTTGGGTTCAACTCATGTTTGGATGTTTGCTTTCAATTTCAATGTAGTGATAACATTCAAGAGGCGGGAAAACCGCAAAGCTATGTCAGTAATTTATTTGTCTGCAAACAACTTTCACTGTTACAACAAATATTAGTTATGAGATCATTCAACTTGGAACCCATACAAAAAGAATAAATAATTAGCAATAATATTTTAATTATACTCATGATCATAATAATTTAAAAAAAGAACCGTAAAACAAACCGAGTGCCATTTGATTTACTCCTGCCTAAAGCCAGCGTTCTTTCCTCCAGGACTGTATTGCCGCCTTCAAACCAATAAACAGATAAATAAATAATTTCTCTTGGGGACACGGAGGGGGCTTGTGGGATACATGTGCAAGCTACACTTCATACACTTATGATTTTTTTTCTTCTTCTGCCTAAATAAGTAAACATTGGACAGTGCTACTGTGTGCAGAGTTCTCACGTCTTCAGTTCACATATAAACATTGTTTTCATGGCAATCTTTCAATTAACATTGGCTTCCTTTTTTTAGTTCAGCAAATTACATTTCTTTCTTCTCAGTGTTCTTCTATAAAATCTCAACCACCAAAGCAAGTTCTATGTCAATTGGTAAAACATTTGGCAATAGAGAGGATATGCTTCATAAACCGTACTTGTGTTGCTCCAAATATGTGATATATCTGTAAAAGAAACTTCTATCAGGCCTGTGCCTAAAGGAAGGAAACGCTTTATTCACGAACAAAGGATTTGAGACCCACTTCCATCAAAGACTAAATGGCAGCATTTCCATAGCAACCGCCTCTTTCGTTTTCCATCTACACAGTGGTAAAGTATTTGATAACAGTTGATTTGCAAAATGTAAGTGACAGTGGTGTTGCTATAAAAGGACCAGAATGAAGTGTGTGGGGGGTTTATGAGTATTAATCAAGGAGTGCTTAGCCGTCTGCATTTAAAGAACAACGTCTAATTGTTCCCCTCTCCTTCTGCCATCCAGACGTGACCAAAGTCACTGTGATGCTTCGGAACAGCTCTGCGGACAAAAGATTTGCAATTCAAAATAATTTTCAAAACAATAAAAGACTTACGCAACATTTGCATCTGTATCTGTATTCTGTACAATACATAGAAACAGTTTGTGAATTCTTTATAATCCTTTGATAACTGAAAGCTTTTACAGAAGAAAGGAGAAGAAACGGAACCAGTTCTTTTTGTCCTTTTTTTCCTTTTTTTTTAAATTCAGTCTTTTGTTATATGATCCTCCTCCTTTGTTTTCAGTGAAGTACACAGTTACTGCAGTCACTACAACTGGCAGGAATGTTACACCAGCCCAGACAAAACTCCAGTTCAGCAGACACGAACGTGAAGAGGATTTCACAACGTTGCCGTGATATGGTTACATTTCGGTTGCCCGCTAAAGTAGTTCTTGGGATGATGAGTCGTATATCGTACATCCTCCACTTGATTGGCAGGTAGTGGGGCGGGTCCTCTTCAAGGCCAGTCTATGTTGTGAACACCGGAGTTCCATAACCTGCTCCGAGGTGGAAACATCGTTCCTGCACGTGTCTTTAATGGTGAGATGGAGTGACAGACAAGAAGACAAACAGACTGGCAGCTCCTTCTAAGCCACGGCTCGTTGTAGTGGTAGTGGACACTGTACGCAATGATCTGCTAGAGGTCCATATTGGAGAACTTGTAGGGCTACAGACGATCAATGATTCCATATCAAAGTAACAGGTAGTGTGAAATTACAGAATCCCTCCCCCTTCCGCTCCTTTGCAAAGTTCCCGTTCCCAAAAATATCGCTGTGAACCGCCCTTTTGCGACACTACATTCAGTCCGCGCTTACATCAGACTGGCGAGTTCCCAACCCAAATGTCATGAGCCACAGATAATGTCACACACAGTATATCGATCGAGGTGCGGGCCAGCTCAGTCCGTCGGTCAACAACACAGAATGATTTTTCGTTGGGAGGTTGGAAGTGTGAGAATGGGCCGGGGAGGGATAGCAGTCTCTCGATCAGCTCTATAGACTGGTGACCAGGTGGGAAGGGTCTATCGGCGGCTCCTCGGGCGACGAGTCGGACTCGTCCTTGCTGCCGGACACCATGTACCCGTCGCTGCCGCCGCGGCCCATGTGGTAGTAGCTCTGCAGCTCGTGGAGGTGATTCCTGGAGCCCAGGTTCGGCATGCTCTTGTAATACACGTCGTCCAGCTCGGGGGCGGTGGCGCTCTTACAGGGCTGCAGCTCGCCGGAGCCGTCCTCCTCTCCGTCCGTCAGGCCGTTCGCCTGCCCGTCGGGAAGGTCCGGCAGCACCGGCATGCTGGTGTACAGCGAGTCTCTGTGGCTGGGCGAGTGCGCGTGCTCGTCGGTGTGCTCGTTGGTCAGCAGGGGGAAGAAGCTCTCGCTGGTCTCCTGGGGGATGCGCCGCGGCCGGGAGAAGCTGTGCGGCGGCGGCGGCGGCGGCGGCGGCGGGTGGCTGTCGGGAGGAGGGGGCCGCGGCGGCAGGAGTGGCGCGTTGGACTCCTCCCTGATGATCTCCAGACCCAGGTTCTCCTCGTGGGGGAAGGCCGCCGGGTTGTCCAGCACCATGGGCCCGTGGTCCTCTTTGCCGCTGCCCAGGCAGCCGCTCACTCCGCTGCTGCTGCTGCTGCTGCTGCCTCCCGCCATGCTGCCTGGAACAGAGGAACCGGCCGGGGACAATGGTTGGACCAAGTATTGGGTCATTTCAACAAGAAGCAATGCTACGGCTGGAGAATACAACGTGAAAGGGGTTGCTCGGACGAAACCCACAGAACATCTTTTCCTCAGCTTCATTAGCATTTCATTTTACTTTATTTTATTACTTGTGCACTGCTGTCTTGTTGTCTATTGTTACACTGTCTACTGTCACGCACCAACCGCCAAGACAAATTCCTTGTATGTTTGACATATTTTGGCAATAAATGTTTCCTGATTCCTGATTCACGGAGGGTTTCAGCTCACAACTTTTACCGTTTCGGCCCGAGCGAAGCGCTCTCATCTGCTTTTTTTCAGAAGCAGCGAGCAGCTGTTACAAAAACGCTCTTTGTACGCTGGCTGCCAAGGATCCAATGGTAGAAAGGCTAATTTAGCAACTTGAGAACATTACAGAACATTTGGCAGCTCATGAGCGAGATCTTTCCTGTTGGAGGCAGAAATTGGCTAAAAGGAGAGTGAATATTGGACTTGCAATGGCCAAGTGGCTACAAACACTAGCCCACTCCGGTGCTGCATGCTTGGGCTTCTCAGTGTTTTCTTATCTTTTATATGTTTTACTTAATAAGTTGTTTTTTTTATTTACGGTTTATGCGTGAAACTTTTGTTTTCTTGGGATAGATATTTCTTTCTTTCTTTTCTTGGGATATATATATATATATATATATATATATATTCTTGCCATGCTGGCTGATTTAAGCGGTCATTTAGATTAGTTCAGAACTTTATAACACATTTGGCAACAACATCTATGTGTCTATCAATAGTGTAGCTGATGCCAGAGCACATACGGAGCGTAAGGATGCACAGCCTCCTCCTGGTTCGCTGTTTCTGGAAACACAAACGTGCTCCACACATTGTACCAAGACGTGTCCCGGTCTAAACCCGAAACAACTGACACCAAAGCATTCACCTCCGTTGGCCATGCTGCTGTTCACCAGCTTGTTCATCAGGTTGTGGTTGCGCTCGGTGGTGGCCCTCTCGTGGTTGTTGAGGTAGGACGGGATGTAATTGGAGGTCAGCTCCTTGAGGATCTTCTTCTCCAGGGTGGTCTCCTTGTGGTTGCCGTGGGTACCGTAGCCGCCGCTACGGTCCAGAATCTGGACGCAGTCGCTCAAGTACTCGCTGCTGGCCATGCTGTAGTTGTTGCCGTGGTTGCCGTTGAGAGGGAGCGTATCCATCACGCTGGAGTCTCTTGCGTTGTTCAGGATACCCTCTGAGGGACAAATAAGAGAAATATGAAAATCTGTATATCAGGATTAACGATTATCATTTTTTTAAACAAACTAATTAGAATCCCCAGAGGAGTAGATTTTAATTATTGTTTGATATCATAGCGTGTGCTGTGAACTAAAGATTAAAAAGTAGGAACATTAATTCTCATGGAGGGAGAAGAGCTCCGTGCGTCCATAATTCATTTAGGAATTTTCCTTTCTCAATTACTGCCAGCACGACAACCACACGGACAAAGTGTTTTTTTGCTGCAAATCGCACCGTTCATCATCTTGTCAGTCATTTTGAGAGCAAACCTATTGCATCTCAGCCATGACAATTCTTACACATTTTATTAACACTATTTCAATTAAAGCACATCAGTTATGTTTTTATCCTATATGATATATTGTCATTAAGAAAATTGTGTTTCCTATAAAATAAATGTTAGAAATCTGATTAGACAACCGTGTCGCATGGACCGACTAATGATCTGGACAAAAAGAAAAGCGGAGGAAGTCAATGTTATTGAAGCAGCAGTATTAGATTCAGCCCATACTTGTGTCTCGGTACGGCGCTAATGGGCAGCATGAGGGAAAAGACAGAAAACAAACAAGTTCAAACCCTGAGAGAGAGACAACTTTCAGCAGCAAAAGAATCAACTGTTGGCTGGGAATTGGAAAATGTCTTGACAAAGAAACCGTGGCTGCTTCTCAATATCAAAATCTGCTTTGCGATGCCTCGCTGTTATAGGGTTCATTCGTTATTTAACACAGAGAAAACATTAAAAACACGGCATGCTGCGTGCACAGTAGACATGCACTAAACAAAGCGATGCAAGTGACCAACCGACACACAGAAACGGACGTTGGAAACAAAGAACATGCATGAACATGCACGCAAATGACCATTACCAGGAAAAAATAAAAAAACACATCATGGCTCCCAAGTAGCTTGTACAACTGCAACCTGCAGCCCACGCAGGGTGCATCCGCTGCGCACAGAAAATCAGCACGTTATGCAGTTTTGATAAATCACCGCCGGCATATTTTTTCGTCTCCGTATTGGCGGTCTGCGGGAGCCGCCCCGGTGGGTGTCCTTTGTGCCAGATTGTTGCGGCGTGATTGATCGCCTCCACTCGGGAGCCACAAGAAGGCGAGAACAGATAGGCGGCCAAAAGTGCATCACAGGAGCAAAGTGTTTAAACTGAATAACCATGCAGAAACAATGGCTGAAATAAGAAGTGTGATCATAGTAGAACATCAGGCACACCTTGGGTGTTGTACATGCCCACAGCTGGGTTGTTATAGACTGCCGAATCCCCCCGGAGAGTGTTATAAGGATTGTTAGTACCATGGGGACGAAGGAGAGCATTAGTTATAAGATGATTAGCCATGGCTCCTGGTACAGGCAGATAGAGGAAAGGGAGAGCGACAGCCGGAGAAGAAGAGAGAGGGGGGAGAGATCAAATGGAGGAGAGAGAGAGAGAGAGAGAAAAGCAACAGTCAAGTAAAGAGAGAGAAAGAGGGACGAACTCAAGGTAAAAAAATAACCCAAAAATAAAAAAGGTTATAGTGGAGAGGACGAAGGAAAGGCCGTATAGACGTTGTAGAGTGAAGGTAAGCGAGAGAGAGAGGGAGGGGAGGGGGGGGGTGTGAGTGTGTGGAAGAAAAAGGGAGAGAGGAGGACAAGTAAATCAAACAATCAAACACAGTTTGAGTGTGAAGGAGCAGACAGGTCATTCTCACAGCCGCCGCATACAAGCCGGGGGAGGGGATGGGAGGGAGGGAGAGAGAGAGAGAGAGAGAGAGACAGACAGAGCGAGAGAGGGGGGGAGACAGATTAGGCTTAGAGGAGGCTGTGCCGCAGTTCACAGCGCTTGAGCAGAGCAGCAGCATGGCGACGGGATAGTTAGGGAGAGAGGGGCCCGGTGCGATACCTTCCCCAGGTGGGAGACGGATCGTGTTCACATGGAGACGACAAAGCAGTAATAGTAAAATAGTCATTTCCACAAACGCAACAGTCGCCTTTATGGAAATGACTGATTTGGAACGAAGTTGGCCAGCAGCCCGTGAGTTGGTCGGTAATGAAGCTCCATCATTTAGAATCATTTAGAAAGGACGGAGAAAGTACGTTTTTTGGTTTAAAAAAAAGTAAAATACATATAATAAATAAAAAACATATATTGATAATTAGAAGAAATTAGAAATTAAATTAATACATGAAGTATTGAAAAAATCTAAATAATTAAACAAAACATAAATAAATGATACAAACGTACTTATTTACTTTATCAATATGGTACTTTTACCTCCACACAACTAAAAAGAGACAAAAGTGAAACTATGTATCAGACATTATGAGGTCATGAAACTGTTAAGTTAGGGTTAAAGTTAAAGCGGACACATTTTATTCTCTCCCAATTTCAAGAAGTCAATCTCTTATCAGCACGTCCAATTCGATTCATCCCGTCCTTTCACACTTTTACGCCACAGTAAATAGCCTTTCGAAATCTATTGGCTCCCAGTAGCTCTCTGCACCACGCTTTAAAGTGTGAACGGGGGGGGGGGGTCCTAAGCCCTGCCTCGCTAATGTGTGATAATTCAGGCGCTGACACACACCGTGTCTGCTCGAGCATCAATCTGTCATGCTAACAGCTTATTAGAGGCCCCCGAGGAGGCGAGGGCCACACCTCGACTTGGAGACCAACAAATGGCAGCGTATGCGCGCACGCGTGTTTGTGCGCGTGCTCGAGTCGAGGCGTTCTAGGTGTCCATGTCCTCGTTGCCCTCGGCCCCAGACAGCTACGCTGATGGAACCCGTTCTTACAGCGCCGGGTCTAATGGACTCTTAGGAGGATCTGTAACTAACAGCAGCCTTCACATAATGAGATGGAAGAGCAACACTTTCTGCCATGTATTTCTGCAGTTATGAATAATGATGAAGCATTATTTCTATAAATGCAACTGTAAAGTAATAGAATGGAACACTTATATGTGAAACTCCCAAACATACTTTAACTCTGGGAATAATCACCCAATGCTTTAAAAAATGACCCATAAAGCCAGAAAAGACCCAATTTGAAGCAGGTGTGGCAGAAAAAAGTGCTAAATGATATTAGCTTGTGTTCTGCAAGAACTGCAAGAGGCATTATCAGGAGTTTAGCCCTCCGACCACTTGACTAAATGGCTAAAAGTGCTGCAGCAGCTTCCCCACTATTAAATAAAGTAGATATGGTGACAGTGATGAGGATGGCGATGCTGGGGGATCCAGCTGTTACCTCTGTTGAGCGTGGCGGAGCTGTTGATGTCTCCGGTGATGAAGGAGGACTCCTGCTTCCTCACCGTGTCATTCCACATCCGCCTGATGCGGCTCTGTAGACGGGAGGAAGGGAGCAAGAGAGGGAGGAGGGAAGGGGGAGGAGTAACAAAACAAGAGGAAGAAGCAGGGTTGAGGGGGAGGACGCAGAGACCAAAGTGGGATTTCATGAGAGAAAAGTAATGGTGCGGCGTGCAAAAGGAGGGCATAAGCAGAGGGACGGCCAGTAAGGGAGAAACGGGTGGGGGAGGGAATAATCACCCGTCAATTTGACATATACAGCATCCGTCAGCATCACTATGTGAAAGTGTAAGTCAGTCTCACTTTCCACATTTTTAAAAGAACAGTGTGTAACACTTAATGAATTGGCAGAAAGGGAATATAATATCCAGAGGAAAATGTTAAATGTGAACAATAACCTTCAACAAAGAATGAGTTTGTCTACACAGGGAGTGAGAACGCCATGATCAGAAGATACGGGTGTGTTCCGCAATCGAGGCCCCGCAGCTACATGAATAAAGAGCAGCGTGTTGATGAGGCCAAGAGGTACTTTTATTAGTACTTTGGCGTCATGTATTATCCCGCTGCAGCGCAGTTCCGCTCTCTGTCGGGCTGAGCTCCTCCAACAACACACGCACACGCACACACGCACACGCACGCACACACGCACACGCGGGGAGCGCGGGCCGAGAGGCAGCTGCAGTGAGGGGAACCAGGTGTTGTGAATCCACCCGTCCTGCTGAATGTTTGATTCTATTACTCACTGTTCTTTTAAAAACTTCCCACGTCTCCTTTAGCCACATTAGAAGTTGTTTTTGACCCCCCCCCAACCTCCCGATGGCCCTCTCCGGCCTCACCTGAGAGTCTGCCGTGCTGTAGCGTCCAGGTGTGCAGGCCGGTAAGCTCACCTGTGAGCCCGTGGAGTAGCGGCCCGGCGTCCGCGACGTGGTGGTCTTGCTGGAGGAGGAGATGGACGTCTCCACGCTCTTGCCGCTGCAGCAGTGGGTGCGCAGGCATTTGCCGTACTCTTTGCGCACCTGGGCAGCGCAAGGTGAGAGGGGGGAGAGGGGGGGAGAGGGGGGGACAGGGGGAGAGGGTTACGGACGTCACACAGCCGTTCACATATACTCATATCAGCATATTTCTAAGCCTACGACGGCCCCCACCCTCAACTTCTCCCACTCACATTGCTTGTGCAAACACTGACGCCACAAAAGAAAACATTAGCATATTAACTTCATAACCTCCTCGCCCCACATCAACATCCAGCCCAAATGTTATTACTGCCACAAACCCATCTGAAATGGACGCTCCCCCCCCCGAGGGAGACACCCGATACACACCGAACATCTGCATTTAGATCCCAATCAAGTTTGGAACAAACAGCGGCGTGATTGCTTTTTAACCAGCTCGTGTTCGCTGCTCTGCTCTGTTTAAACAGCTGCGCGCCGAGTCTGGGGAGGAAAGTGCTGAATCGCTGCCAGAGAAAAGCTCAGCGCCGCTCTGAGGACGTCTCTCAGGACACCTGATCCCACGTATCCAAGTGCACTGCTCACCCTCACACACACACACACACTCGTTTACTGGCTGTACGCTCGAGGCCAAACAGGCAGGCGAGAGCATGAAGCGTCTGACGAGGCTTCTCTCCATGTCGTGCTCCTCCTCTTGTGTGGACACAACTCTGTCAGAGCAACGCACAACTTTTTCAAAATCTCAAGGGGAGGAGGGAGGGAGGCTGTTAGGTCCATCGAGTGAGGTCAAGACACGTAAATGGGAGGAGTGTGTTTTAGACACAAAGCTGTTACACGCAACGGACAGAAAAATAGGAATTTCCCAAACTGAAATCTCGGTAATTATAATTTATTATCTTTCACCAACAATGCTGATAAATTCTATTCTGTAGGCCAGACAGAGACGCTGTTTATTACCTTCTGCCGAGAGGCCAGAGACACTTACAGAGTCAGTGGGGAAACGAGAGGCATTGAGCAGCCGCGTTGGGTCAAACAGGTGAAACCAGCCCCCCCCTCGCCTCGCTCACCTTCTTCTGCAGTATGCAGTGGAAGATGAAGATGAACATGCCCTGCAGGGAGTTGAAGATGGTGAAGAGGTAGGCCATGATGACGGTGCTCTCGTTGATGTACATCAGGCCGAAGGCCCAGGTCAGGCCCAGCAGACACAGCAGGGCTATGGCCCCGATCACCCAGGACCTGGAGGAGGAGACGCTTCAGTGTCCAACAATACAGAAGCACTTTGTAACACGAGTCTTTTCTCTTTTTACTGTCCTGGATCAGAAAAGCTGCTCAGCACGTGGGATCACGAGGCGGGAGAAAGCGGGTTTGCCAGAGATAATTTGTGGTGCCAACACCGCGTGAGTGGAAGGGGGGAAAAACAGCGGGAGGTTTTTCTCTAAAATAATTCAAACTAACAAGAAAAAAGGGTGAAATAAAAGACAGAAAGCGCACTGATTTGAGAGAAAGAGGCCGGATGACGTCAGCGCAGAGAACGCACGTCGCGCGGGACACCCTCCAAGTTACTGCGACCTCCGGCCCCTCGCAGGGTTGAAAGACGCTTTCGCAGACCAAAGTGGGTGCTGGAGTCTGTTAATGCAACGGTGACCAACACTTTAATGGAACGGACTTTAATACGAGTTTTCAAGGCCGCAAACCTGCGTTTCTAACAAAGCCGAATATGCAGGAGTCATTAGGGCCAAATGTCAGAGGGATGTGGTCGTGTTGAGGCATGTGTATGAATCGTAAGTCCCTGTCTGAGCGTGTGCGTGTGCATGTGTGTGCGTGTGCCTGTGGTCTCCACTGGGCAGTAAGTAGAGGGCCATTACAGCCATTACAAATGACATTTCCCACTAAAGGTCACCGTTTTCTGGTCTGCCGAGGCCGCGATGATGGCTGTTAATTTGATTGGCTGACTGGACAGCGATCACCTCTCGTGGAGGAGAGGGAGGCGCAGCGAGGGAGGAGGGAGGAGGGGGGAGGAGAGGGAGGCGCAGCGAGGGAGGAGGGAGGAGGGGGGAGGAGAGGGAGGCGCAGGCGAGGGAGGAGGGAGGAGGGGGGAGGAGAGGGAGGCGCAGCGAGGGAGGAGCAGGGGGGAGGAGGGGGGAGGAGTGGGAGGCGCAGCGAGGGAGGAGGGCGGGGGGAGGAGGGGGGAGGAGTGGGAGGCGCAGCGAGGGAGGAGGGCGGGGGGGTGTTGGTGGGGCGAGGTTGAGGTATTAGAAGAGTTAGCAGGAAGGAAGAGAGAGAGGAGAGTAAGTGAGGTGATTGATTGGATGTCGCCCTCTGTGGCACCGCTCAGGCGAGACAGAACCTCCAATAAAGCTCGTCTGACGACCCTCTTCGATAAAGGGTACACTCATCCCGCCCCCCCACACCGAGCAGCGTCGTCTCTCCCGGCTTCCGACCTTGCGTCCTCACGTCGCGCCGGTGTAATATTTCAATAGAGCATCGGGGGGTTTACGGGTCAGACGGGGCTCACAAATCACACGTCAACACGTAATCCACTTCACGAGGCAGGTTAACGGTTAATTTAGGGATATGCACGGACTCTGGGAAGATTCTACGGGCAAACACCAGGACAAGCGAAGCCGAAACGTCCCGGAGGAGACGGAGGACATGGTGATTGGGGAGAGACCTTACCGCAGCCCAACAAAGACAACTCATGGTGGCTTCACGGGGGAAACAAAAGAAAGAAAGACAGAAAATAATAAGAGAAAAATGGACGCAATGATGATGATGATTAATACAAAAATGAACCACATAAGACAAGACTAATGGAGTAAAGTAGATTCAAATCTATTCAGCCTTTTTTTTGCGCTCAAAAAGAAAAACGTAAGCCATTAAACCGCGAAGAAGTGAAATGCGTCATGATCTGATTCTTTGATTTTCCGTCTTTCATCAGGGCCTTTTTGATTGAGGCCCCCTGAACTCGCACGGAAGCGAAGATCAAATGGTTTTAACAAACTTACTTTCCACTTGGAGGCCCGACTCAAAAGTGCCGTCTTGAAATATACATTGGCAGTGATATTTAAAAGATGAATCAAACGGTACGCCGCTCCGTGATTTGCATGACAAATACCGAGCTGTGCCTCGGTCGGGCGTCCGGCTAAAGGCCGGCACGCCGTTTGAATTAGACGGGGCCTGGAACAAGACATAACACAGTCCTGATTGGTTAGCTTAGCAGACACAGTTCGGGGGAAATGAAGTCATGTTCCATGACTGGGAATAATAACGTGATCGATACGATGAGGAGCATCGTGAAGTGATGGAAGAGTCTGCTTCATGTTGCAGCTGACATACCATGAGAAGAAAGGACAACGTTTAAAGGAGTAGCACGACGCTTGGGAGAAGCTCTGCCTTGCGTCCGTGCTGAGGTTTGATGAGAGGATGGATTAGCATGAAGACTGGAAACAGCTGTTCCAGTTGTGATTAAAGTTAACACGATCTAAAGCTCACTAATAACATGTTCTATCTTTGGCTCAAAATCTGAAGTGTAAAAACAATAATTTGCTATTTTACATTTTGTTTTCTCTCTCAGGGCAAACCATCTGTCACACATCCACTGCTTCTCTTTTTCCAAATATTTGGTTACTGTGCAGATAAAGGAGTCGATGAGAAAATGACCGTCGCTAGAAGTGTTGTGCATGTTCTCATCTTTCAACTTACTGCGTGTTTCCACCTCATGAAAGCTTTGTGGCGTCTAACTTGCCCCCCCCCCTTTTTCTTCACTGCTTTCATCAAACAAGATGGCAACGTGCAACCAATGGGTGACTGCTTTTATAAAGTGATTGATTCTGACCAGTTTGGCTGGCTGTTTTTAAACTCGTGCAGTGTCTATTAGCCAACACGCTGCTCGCTCTCCACCTGCGTATTCAACAAAAAGGCATTTGATTCCTCTCTCTCTTCTCATTTAAGTCTCGGCAAGAAAGCATAGAAAAAGTTTCCCAAAAGCGAATTATTCCCTGAATTTCCACATACACACAATTGTGTATAATCAGAACTGCACGCACACAGCACGTGGACTTACTTGATGTTGTCCAGACATCCAGAGTCTGGTTTGAGAATGGCCGTGTGATGGAACATCTTATAGAGAGCGATGCCGAGGAAGATTACATTCAGCTGAAACGCACATGCACACAAGTTAATACTGCAGCAACACGCCTAATTAAAGACACACAATGTCCCCACAACAATTCACTCACACACACACACACAGTCCATATCGTTTTATTCCAGCAGTAATTTGCCTCTGGCACAGTATCAGGCACGATCAACAGCCCTTTCTGTGCTGAAAATACTGCAGCTCGAGCATCGGGGGGAAATACAGCCATCACATTCAGTCATTACATCCATCAGCAGCTGTTGTTACAACAGAAAATCCAATTCCGCTGTCCATTCTATCGGCCCGGGAACGCACAGATAGGGTGTCCTAACAATGGCCGTGCATGTGACCGAGGGACATGGACTCATAACAGAGCGCTCCCACTCAGATCAGCGATAGCCCGCCTGACATTTGCAGAATGCAGAGTGCAGAGCATCGCCGGCCATGCTGACATTCTCCTAATAGGAAACATGTCCTCATTGCTGTCCCTCTATCACACCCAAACGCTGCTTTCTACATATTCCTCAGGCTTATTGTCTCCGTCTGCCGCTTGACTCTTCTGCCTGTGTTTACTGGTACAAAGGGCCGGTCGCGCTCCTCAGCGACAGATGATCCTCCTCTTCAGCCCGTGTGGTAACGTGACGCGTCCGGCAGGAAGCACAGCGCCTGGATTACCAGATAAATGGCTGCAGAACTTTCCTAGGGGTCTTATCGTAATCTGCGGTTTGTGTTTGATCTTCTCCCGGAGAATGTGTACCCCCTTGAGAGTTAATCCAGGAGTGGGATTTATCAAAGATTCACATAAAAGTTCCTTCGGCTTCTACTCACACTGCCGAGGAGCTCCGGAGAACCTCGCGAGGAGATTAACAAACATTCAATGCAAACATGTGGCAGTGCACTGCATGTAGAGCGAGTGTGTATCTCACCATGATGATGAGCGTAGCCGGACCTATAAAGCTCCAGATAAAGTACGTGTCCAACCGCAGCCAGCACCTGGAGAGACAGAGACATGGAGAGAGAGAGAGGGGATTAAAACGCGCTCCGGTCTCCAGGTGGATGTAGGGAAGCCAGGTTACACCAACGGAGGACAGCGCATGCGTCATAGTGACACACACACACACACACACAGGAGAAGCAGCGCGTCACTTTACGCCACGCACCAAATTAATCACAATGGAGGGAGGACAAAAGTGAAGAGAGAGTTATGGGATGAAGGGAACAGACTAAACGCACATGACATAGGAGGGAGGGGGAGACAGCGAGGGATCAGCGATAAATTCACCTTCACCCCCTTAGGCCCCACATATACATATATCTATATATCTATATATAGAGATATATATATAGATATATATCTATAGATATATATATATATATATATATATATATAGATATGTGTATATAAGAGGCAGCCACCATCCCCGCGGGCACAAAAATATGACGCCACAGCGTTCATTTGAATGGTGAGTAATGAATGCAGAACGTAGCTATTTGTGGAGTCTGGGAAATGGCTGCGATGAGGTTAAAGGAGAGTGGAAGGGGGGGGGGGGGGGCATGCATGAACACACATACGAGCACGCACATTCATTCTCTGGCCACAAGGTTAGGACTGGTAGGAGATGATATACTGCTATATGCTAAATCAAATCACCCAAACATCTTTACTCATCAATGGCAGCGAGCAGGGGAGGGAAAAGAGGAAAAAAACACCGCCGCCGCCGCCGCCGCCACCTCCACCTCTCCCCCCCGAGTGCCCTCCACTGAGGTCGGACTCGACGGGTTGCAGTCGCGAAGCCGCGAAGACAAAAAAGCCGCTGGAGCAAAAATGGCCTTCTGATTCATGACCAGCTGCTTTTGCATTATTAATCTTTCAATTTCCAGCACATTAGTGAGCCCTCCATTACGGGTCCCCGGCCGTGTCACCGTACCCTCCATTAAGGCTCCTTTGCGAAGTCACTGCCACCTTCATTATGGGAGGCGAATGCGACTCAGCGCCACTGGCTAATAAGTGGGAGAGGGCGGGGGAGGGGGGGGTGCGTTGTGTGACAAGGTGACACAGCAGGCACGCCAGATGATATTTCCGAGGGTTTCGTCTCGTGTCGCGCAGTGTCAGACGTGACGAGCGGCGCCATTTTCGGGGGTCAGACCTATAAATAAGTCCTAAAACTGATATCCAGATTCAACGTTTCCCCTCCAATGAGGACATCAAAATGAAGAAATAATTGCTCAGGTGACATCATACATTTTTTTCTCTCCTTTAGTGCGACTACATTATTTTCACCAAACACTCCAATTTGCATTTTCTTTTCTTTACCACAGCTCCCGTCTCAAGGCGAGTCTCCCAGTCATCCGAGCTCGGCATTCAGACTCATGTTTTAGTGATCACGATGAAATATGGATCTAAGTGGCATACGGATTGGTGCCGTGTGACGGTTAAACACTGCAAACTTCCGCCCTTTATTTCTCTCCCCATTCAAACCCCTTGGATCTGATGTGCGGCTCAGCGAAGAGCCACCGGGTGTTAAATACAACACAGAGCGAGTGAATCACCCGACAGTCCTAAAGGTTTCCTCTTTCTCTCTCTTTCTTATTTCTATAAGTGGTCGCGTGAGGAGAAGTAGGAATGTGCCCCTGATGATCGCACGCCGCCACAGTAAGGAGCAAAGGTCACCGCCGGGTACAATGTGCCCGCGTAAATTATATGCGAGTTATGCAGTCAACATGCATTGTATGAATAAAATGTTGGCCCTTTTTTTCCCGTGGCCACGTGGAAGACGCGTTAACTACCAACGCAAAACGTGTAACAGTTGTGGAACGTGGGATTCTCACGCTTTTTGGGGAGGAAGCGTCACAATACAACGTTTGATTTGCAACTAGGTGACGTGACTATGAACTTCCCCTCGGCCAAAAAAAGTCGGTCTATTATCTGTGAAAAAACAATATTTTAATGCCATTTGTATGCATTTCGATGGCTTTTCTAGAGAGAAGTATGCGTTATATTTTTATAATCCTCTATCAGAGAATGTAGAAGACCTTCCGTTTATTAGATTCTAGGCGATGTAAATGAACGGGCCAAAATAAAACATTGTCACGATTTTGGGGAGAAAGGGTGAGAATCCCACGTTTCCTTGTAACTAGGGTGTGTTTATAAGTGACTGCTCCTGGTCTCACGGCGTCGAACATGCATGAATAGATAACCGCGTGTGCTCAATGTACATGTCCGCCGCCCCCCGCGCATCCTCTGAACTTCCCGCAGGGAGGATCTGGGCGAGGGGGGATGTGTCCACACACTGACAGGCTACTCCATCACTCCCTCTTTCCCCCGTCCCTCCACTCTCACTCTCACTCCTTTTCCTCCGTCAATCTGCTCCGGTGTGAACCCCCCCCCCCCCCCATCGTTCCGTCCCGCCCCTTAAAAATCCTCCCCATATTGGCCACATTGTGGTTGCTGGGCTCAAGCAGGCCACTCTGTGGAACATCCTCCCCCCTCCCTGTCGGCATGTAAACCCCCCCTCACGCTTCTTTTAAGCACCCTTCAGTATTGACTATACCACAGCTCGCAGAGTCCACCGCGGCAGCCAAAATGACAGCAGGCCTTCCAGGGCCCCTCCACCCTCCTCCATCCTCCTCCACTTTCCTCCATCTTTACACTCGGTCGGTGCCGTAGCTCCTGTAGTCCACCGCCGCGGACACGCCTCAGATGACAGCAGGCACGCGGTAGCCTGCCAGATAGAAGTACTTAGTCCGGGAGTGTTCGCTTTCAAACACCTCCCCCAGCATGATGTAGAGCGGGCACCCCTTCCAGGAACATCCAGGTGAAGGCTGCCAAGAAGAAGAAATGGAGCAGGGCCGCGAAAACCGCACAGGCAATCTGGTGAGGGAGAGAGAGAGAGAGGGGGGGGGGGGGGATTAAAAAGAAAACATGTCAACACTTCACACAAAAAATGCACAGGAAGTATTTAATCTGAGTGAGTTCGAAGAAAGCGGGCGAAATCAAAGTAATCGTCGATTGAAAGGAGGAAATGTGAAGGATTAACAGTTGGTCTGCCAAGGCCGTAATGGAGGAGGGGGCGAGGACGAGGCGAATGGAAAGGGGGGGGCCTCACAATCACAGCACAAAATCGCATCCAGATAGCGACATTAGTCAAGCCCCCCCCCCCCACATTCCGCTCCACGTCTACATCTAAGAGGATAAATGAGGAAATAAAAGTGACGAGCTGGTGCTGCCACTGATTGTCCACATTTCAAACAGAAGAAGAAAAGCACTTCTTTCAGAATGGGCAGAGAGAGAAGGGAAGAAAAGAGGGGGGCGTTTTCAACAGTGCTGAAGACACTTCAACACTGTTGAAAATAGAAATGTGAATTTGTTTTTTTGAACAAAACGAGTGGAACAACTGAAAAAAATGAGTCATCGCCTCAGCTTGAAGGAGACGCACAACATGTCACACTTTTTTGGGAAAACCCATCAGTTTACATTATACTTTATGGCTTTGATTCTATTCCACCAGTAGAGCTGAACCATGTGTAGTCAACGTCATCACCATAATACTGTGAGCCGCTTGTCCAAGACACAAGACACCATTGGTAACCACATGCAACGCTGACACATTCCCACTGGAAGTGAGTGAGTGGGTTTCTACGTCAGCCGCCGTTAGTCGCCCGTGGAAAGGGACGGAGGAAAGCGATAATGTAAAATCATTAGAGAGGCGGATGAGAGAGTTTCCCCAATGTAAAAAGGAAGAGAAACCCGGCGCTGCAAAAGGGATGAGCGGCAGTGAAAAATGAAAGAAGGGTATCTAACTTGAAGCCGTATTAACAATTTAGGCAATGGGATGGAAAGAAAAGCAGGCGGGTGGAGAAGGAGATGTGGCCCGTCGCTCTAATCTGCAGCGTCTCTCCTAAATCACTGAACGGAGGAGCTGACAGACAGGCTTTCATAAGAGACGGGCTGGAAGAGGGAGACAATTACTTAATGTCTGAGAGACAATGTGTTTAGGGGGCGAGGGAGTCACTCATTTCCATTTCTAATGATCACACAGCGTAGCTTTCACACGCAGAGACACACAGGTAAAAAAAAAAGAAAGTTGCTGCTTATGCAAAGTCATTTCGGTTTTCCTGCAGGAATTACTGGCTTAACCGCCCGCGAGTTAACTGACACCGAAGATGTTAATAGAGGTCACAAACAGTCATCGGTAATTAACGGCGCACACGTACATATGGAGCAGCATGATCCCTCCCACGCAAACACGCTAACATGCAGAGAGAGAGAAGAACGCGAGACTCAAAGTCAAAAAGATGTTAAAAAAGTGTTTTCTCATTTCACGCAGAGTGTGAAGGCCTGAGGGGGACGCGGCCCTGAGCGCCTCCTCCAAACAGACACACTCCATCATGTCCTGATCGCATTGTGTACAGTCAGACCATGAGATTACACAGCGAGGTTTCCTCAGGCATATGTTGACCTTGCCCAGTGGCAATGCTTCATCTCAAGAGCTGCCCCATCGGCTTTATTTGTGCATATTTCTTGCATCCCAGTGAGGTTAAAACACTGGCGGACCCCCTTTTGACACCCCTAATGTGGATAAAATAAGATGAAGTGCCCTCGAAGAGGCCCTTCCAGTGGAGAAAACTAAATAAGGTGCCTACATGAGTATTTTGCTAATGGAGAGAACATGATAAAGAGCCCTCTAGGGTGTCATCCATATGGAGAAAATATGATGAAGTTTCCTTCTAGGATGATGGCCCTCTAGTGGAGAAAACATGACAAAGAGGAAGCGAGGAAGACCTGAAAAAGGGCCCTGCAGGGTGCCCTTCCAGCGGAGACAAATGCCCTCGTGATGCTCCTAAAACACCCTTTCAGTGGAGACAGGTGCATTAAATCAGTGCGCCTTTTTATTTCAGGTTTTTCAGGCATTGAATGCGGACTGTACAGATTATACAACATCTGCGGACACTGGAATGCCGACCACGTGTGCGCTGACGGTCGAGCCAAAACCGCACCATGCATCATTAGTGACGGAGACGTTGCTTTGATCTTTCCATTCTCCCTTTGTTCCTCCTCATCTTCTGCGTTTTTTGAGTTGCAAAAGCTGGGCGCAATTCCACACGAGCAGCAGAGGTCATGCATCGTTAACTGTGCTGGGTCCAATCTGGTAAAGTCTGGGTAGCGGGCGTGAAACATACAAAGTGAGCAATTGGGCCAAAAAGTAGTGAAGTTACTTTGCTTTTTTTTGGCCTTAATGATTGCCACCACAATGATTTCCACTTTTGGGAAATTGGGTCTACTTGAGCCAGTCAGAGAGGGGACGAGCGCAGGAACCGTTCATCTAGATGTGGAGGAGCAGGTTTCGCTCAAATCTGACTGAGAAGAATGAGGATCATCGTGTTGATGCGCACAATGACACCCGGCTAATTCAGAGTGACACAGAAACCCCAAATCAAGCCCAAGGTTTGTCAACATGATCTGAACTGCTTATCATTGCTTACATCACACTTCTGTATTTCCTAATCTCAAGGAGAATGGGAGCTAGAAGTATGCTCACAATTTAATGTGTGTTCAAATATAACAATTAACAAAACCCATTTTATAATGAATTAAATTGCCAGGATGATTTATAATTGCTAACATCTATTTTGCAAGGGCAGTACACCGTCCTACCTGAATAATACAAAAGTGTGTCGTGTTATTCTTATAGCATATGTGAAATTAAGTTTTTTAATAATGAATTTGGAATATTTATTGAGGCTTCGGGGCAGAATAAAATTAAGTTATGATAATCAGTTATATAGAGGCGGGAGGGGGGGGGGGGGGGGGTGCCTGCCCCCCCAAGCAAGTCTGTTGAACGTTAACGTTTACAATTCACTGGTGGCCCCACGTCTGCGGGTCCCTATTTTCCTCCAAACATCCTTCACAACCAACAGGATTCTGTGGCTGGAGAGAGAGACGGGAGCTTCTTTAGCCGAGGGAGGGGGGGGCCGATAAAAACAACAGAAAGCTGAAGCTCTGCTTGCAACAAAGCAAACACACAGGCCTTAATGCAGTATCTATCCAATAAAGGAGGTCTCTGTAAAATGCACTTTACACTGTAAATGCAGTTGCTTTGCCCCGTTCCCACGGCAACCCTACATGGTCATTATATTTAGGTAAATTTGCCATCGGGGGAGTAGAGCAATCCCACTCGGCTGGTAACCCTGTTGCTGTAGCAATTTCTTTTCGTCTGTTTTCTTTGACTTTTGCTGGCAATCTTTTCTGAATTAAAACAATAAATGTGAAGAGGGATCTAACGACCGGAGCAGTAGGGATGTTGTGGAAAACGGACTGTGTGAAGTACAAACAAACCCTTACAACAAAAGTTCCATCACCAAGCTGGATTTGGATGCAAGGACATTGTTCATTTGACAGCCTCTCAACTGCTTCTCTGTTAATTCCCGGGACCCTTGAATGCAGCAACTCTGCCAATTCTTGTTGTCACCCATCGACAGCAACTGTTGCCTCAGCCAACGATGCAGTATGATCGGTGGTATTGGTCATTGGACAGCTATGCCAACCCTGAGCCAACACAGCATGAATAAATGTAGCTTGTGTGCAAAATATTATCTAGTATTTATCTAGTGCGTCTTTATCCCAATAAGGATGGACTGTCCACGTCTCCCAGTCACAAGAGCGGCGCCTGCAGCGCGTGGTGTACGCCTACCGGTTGATCGGCCCTGTTGATCCCCACCAGGAACAGTGACTCGGCGATGAAGAGGCTGATGCAGAGGTTCTTGTGGATGGTGTTGCGGTCGCTCTGCAGCCCGCGGAAGAAGCAGAAGGTGAAGATGCAGATGAGCAGGCACACCAGCGACAACAGGATCCCCACCCACGTGATGACGTCCAGCAGCAGGTCGTGCATGCTGTCCGCTTTCTGTGGCGGGAGAGAAGCGAGAGACGGTGGCGGATTAGCGCTCGGATTGTGTGCCGGGCCGCAAGCAGTTGCTTTTGGCTGGAAACATACATGAGTCATGCTGTTGTAACGAGAAACATACTGTAGGAGCAGACACCCTCCCTCATCCCGCCCCCCCCATCACCGAGTCCGCGGCTGAGTGTTCAGGGCTGCGGCGTCACGCCGCGATGCACAGGTGTGCCCGCTCGATCCATCAGTGTCCCCGCAACCTGGCAGGCGGAGCAATGTTCAACATCGCAGCGCTGTGATGGATCTACTGCTCGGAGCCTCGCACCGTGTTCACAAAGGGGCCGCCGGGCCGGCCGGGGGGGCGCGACCCGCTGACGCAGAGGCGCCACGAGAGAGTATTGGTGAGGAAGGGAGTAAACGCAGAGAGAGGAGGCAAAGGGGCCTTATCCCCCCACCCCCACTGCTACCCCCCATTACTCATTTCACAATACAATAAGAACTGCACTTTTTTTTCAAATCAATGTCATCATCGGGCTCGACAAATCAATTATCAGGTTTCTGGAGAACTCTAGTCTATCTTCCAGATGTTGAGGTCTCCTTCTTTTCCTTCCTCCCACCAGCCACGGCTAATCAAACGACGAACAGCCGACCCTTTGACCCTTCCCATCTCCGGAGCCGACGCCTACCTTCACCTCCACGTGGGCCATGAGCACGGCGAAGCTGGTGAGGTGTGTGCAGGAGCAGGTGGTGTGTGTGCGATTGGTGGCCAGCAGGCGACAGTCCTGCGTGGACCAGAATCCCGTCATGGTGCGCTTGGTGTAGCTCCAGAACGAACAGTTGGGATTGAAGTTCTCTTCCGAATGCTGAGAGAGAGAGAGAGGGGGAGGGAGGGGAGAGGGAGGGAGAGGGGGAGAAAGCAAGTAGGTGAGAAAAAAAATTGTGTGAGAGAGAGAGAGGAAGAGAGACAGGGACAAAAGGGAGGAGGGCGGGGGGGAAGCCGGGAGGCAGAGAACGGATACTTAGTCATGGGGAGGTGGGAGGTAGAAAAGATGGAGCGTTGGGAGAGCCAAGGAAAGTGAGAAAGTGGTGGGAGGAATCGGTGGAGAAAGGGACGGAGAGGAAGGAGCACAGAGAGGGGAGTCAAGCGCGCACAACAACAAAGCAACAAACAGAAGGGACAGAATGCAGCAACAAATAAACACGGCGCCGAGGCAGGAGGCCGCGCCGCCGCGTCCGTGAAGGGCTGTGTGAGATTCCAAAGTGGAGGAGCTGCTTGTGTTGTGTAAACTGATGGAGCTGTGTGTGTGTGTGTGTGTGTGTGTGTGTGTGTGTGGGTGGTTTGGAAAGTCACTCTCAAAATGAGCAAGAGAAACAGCGAGGATTTCTTTGCTGCCAACAAGCTGGATCACCAACTGGATCAACATTTGCTCGGTGAATGAGCAACACAGCTTGAAGAGCACGACTATTCACACAGCGCGAAGCAATGAGGATCCTTATCCAGTCCGCGGAAACAACAGCGTTTGAACATTTTATTTCCATTAATTAACTTTGGCAAATACTTTCCACGGTATACCGAAGAAAAGGAAATATCCGAGTCTTCCCACAGCTAAAACAATTCAACGGTTTTGTTTTTCATTATTATTGTTACAAATTCCATGAGAAGCCCAAACCCGACTGGGCACTGAACCGTTACTCGGGACTTTCCCAAAACTTCCCCAGCCTTCCTGCGGCACTTAAACCCGAGCCCTCCCGTACCCCGATCCTCAAACAGCTGGCGTGCTGGAGAACAGCAGTCAATTTGCTTTGGCAAAAAGTTCGTTTAGTGGGAGTTATTCTCAGCTGCTGGATTAACACACATTTGGTGCTCTAGTGAGTATTTATAGCACCGGAACGGCATGTGTGTGAAATTAAATCAAAGTAGAACACGCTGCTCATGTTCATTCTGATGAAGGAACATCTCCCAGCTCGATGTGTTCTGGTGGCACTGGTTCCTCACACGACCATGGGCACCTTTCTAGATCCATATTACATCACCAACTGAGCTCAATTAGTGTGGAAGACAAAATGAAGGATGCAAATAATGAGTAAACAATAGTATGAACTGAAAACAGCCGTACTTTATTCCCACTTGACTGCTTCCTCTGTGCTGAACTAATCTTTGGGTTTCTTGACCGAGTGCAGCACCACTAGTGGCTTCATATTAGCTTCTGCTGCTCAGACACGATCTGCCTCATCCTTTAACCTCCACTTCGGCGCCCTTATCTCAGGGAAAGTTATCCTTTCATTCATTGCATAATACCTTGTCACCTGGCAACTCCCTCACCTGCAGGTGTTTGACAGTGAAGACCACGGGCTCGGACAGGTACACCTTATTGCTCTCCTTGTTTATTGACGCCGTGATGACCGGGGAGTTGACGATGACCGAGTAGTTGGGGTAGACGGGCTCGCTGCTGAGCCGGACGCTCGCGTTCTCCGTGGACAGGTAGGCCCCCAGGTTCCTGTACAGGACGAAGGCCATCCTGATCTCACCTGTGAGGAGGACAAGCAGGCAAAGAAGCATTGCAAGAGGCCTGGACGGAGAGAAGAGAGGGAGGGTGGGGGAGATGGGGGCGAGCGAGAGAGGTTGTGAGGTTTGTCTTCTACCGTTTCTGCCGTGCTGCTTGAGAGTGCTGGCTGACAGTTGGATGGAGTTTCCATGTAGCTCTGACTGAGGGAATGTCAGGTCGCCAAGGTTCCCTTCCGTGCTCAGCCTGGCCACTTCTAGCTCTGGAGAACGCACACGCACACGCACACGCACACACACACACACACACACGCACACACACACACACACACACACACACACACACGCACGCACACACACACACACACACACACACACACGCACACACACACGCACACACACACGCACACACACACACACACACGCACACACACACGCAATGTCAAGTCATAGCACATCACACCCCAGGTTTGTTTTGCAGCCTCTTGTAGTAACCGTGTTTTCTCACTAAGTGCTTCACAGCCGAACAAAGAAGGAAAAAAGGCCGAACCATCAAAGGGAAATGATTTTTAAAGCGACTGGGTCCAACACATGGAGGTGGATAATCCGGCCTTCTCTCCGGCACCATTGGGATTCACATTTTATCCATCCGGGTTCGTTAGCGCATTTTCCGATCACGGCGGTTCAATGTATTAGATACAGTTTGTCATTAAGGACTAATTACACCTCGGGTAATGTGAGTGGTTTGGTGATGGAGACACTGCTTTTGGGGTACAAACACTTTGTTGATCCAATAAACAGCACAGCAACGTACACGGATAGAAATGAGAGCGCAGCAGGGGGACGAGCAGAAGGAAAGGGAGTCGAGGAGGTTGAGGAAGAAGAGCTGGCGAGCGGCGAGAGGAAGGAGAGGGAGGAGAGGGAGGAGAGGGAGGAGGGCAGAGGACTAGAGCGGCGAGAGGGAGGAGAGGGAGGAGAGGGAGGAGAGGGAGGAGAGGGAGGAGAGGGAGGAGGGCAGAGGACTAGAGCGGCGATGGGTGAAATGAAGAACGATTCCTCCCCATTGAGCGCAACAGATCGGGCACAAAGGCAAGAGATGCTGAGGCCCGAGAGCGGAGGCAGAGGCTGCAGAGGGAGGCAGGCAGACATAAACACGGCCACTGATATGCAAATACTGGCAGAGAGGAAGAGAAACACGCGCATCCACGCCCACGCAGCAGGGCGTCCAAAATACACAGAGTCTAATCTAATTAAAGCCTCCTTGTCATGACGACCCTCCTCCGAAGGAACACGCTCGTTCATTATCGTTATCACACGTGCACGTTGTTACCGCTGTGTTATCCCTTCAAATCAGTGTTTTGCTTTTAATAATAACGCCACTTATTCATCTGCCGGATGATGCGGCGCAGACACACAAACAAATCTAACACAATAATATCACCTGCAGTGGCTTCTGCAAAACGTGTCATTCGAGGTAATTTATTCCCGTCGCTCAGTCTCCTCTGACAGAATTGGATAACGGGGAGCTTAAAAAAAAGTGGAGTGGCGAGGGACAGTGAGGGAGAGCGAGAGAAGGAAGCGAGGAGGGGAGGAGGGAGATGAGAGGCGGCTGTGAATAAAAGGGAGAGATAATCACGCTGGATCTGCCCACTGGATTAGCTGCGAGGGAAGATTAACGGCACAGAAAAGGAGAGGACGGAATTTTCCGCAAAAAAGGACGCTTTCCCTTTTCTTTAAAACTTCCTCAAAGATGTGCTACAGCCTGCATGTCGGTGGCTGTTTATATAACCACGTTGGCGTGGTGCCTTCAGGGGGGCCGGGGGGGCGCAGGTCTAAAAATAATGAAAGGTGAGATTGTGTAGGAATGATCGGTTTGCGCTTAAACTCAGGGGACAAAGACGTGCGGCGAGGACGGTGCAATCTGTCACTCAGAGACACAGTGTGTTGAGACGTAAACAGATTCCACTGGTGGCTGATGAGAAAAAACAACAACGCTCAAACGCATCCGTCGACATTCCACCGCCGCCATCAGCGTCCACTCTCGCCCCATCGTCCTCCGTCCCGCCGCTCGCCCCCCCCCCTCGGGACTTTCCTTCTCTCAGATGCGTTGTGCGCACAAGCCCGGTGAATACCGGTGATGGCGACATGAAATGCAGGAACGTTTTTTAAAATCTCAAATCGCGAGGGGAGTAAACAGGAAGGTGATGAAGTGATTGCAGCTTGACTGGTCACGGGTGCGGATGAAAGGACGGATCACATAGATGCCGTGGACTCAAAAGACACGGGGACAAAAAGCAGAGAGGGCTCTTGTTCTCGGGCGTCTCTGAGGGGATCAGTGAGGAGAAGGACAGAAGACGGGGACGGTAAAGTGAGGTGGACAGCACCATAATAATAATAATAATAATAATATTAATGTTCTAATTTGTCAATTGCGCCTGCAAGCTGGATGAGGCTAATATGAGGATAGTAAATAAATACTAATTCATTCATCCCTGCCTCAGGCCATATTTCTTTTCACTGTGCATTTTATCAGATGAGGATGGATCTGTGTGGATTTGACCCTTAAAAACCTCTCACAGCACCGACGACCTTTATTATGACCTCTTTTTTTACCGCTCTACAAGCTCTAATGATTAAGGCAGGCGCACAGAGCTAGAAATACATTTTGTCCATCGAACCTGTTGCCTTGGTAACAAAATTAATTTTCACATGCATTTTGTGCTTGCAAATACCATTACAGCTTTATCTGTTTGAATTTGTATTATTTCCCTTTTTTTCCTGAGAGCTACAACATTTTTTTGACAAAAACAATGCTTTTAATAAATCCAATTCCGCCAGAGGGGAACAAACAAAGACAGGGAAAAACGCAGACGGGGACGAGGGACGAGGTTCAGGGTAGACATCCAAGGCATAACATGCAGGGTTGTACAATCCATGACGCAACAAGAGACACACATGGCTTAAATACACTGGGAAGGTGCAGGTGATTGGACACGGGTGGAAACAATCATGGACAATCACAGGGGATGACAGAACAAGGCAGGAAGTGATAATTAAAGGATAAATGATTTATGTTGTTTTTATTCATTCATTCACAAATTAGTGTGGCTTATTATTACATTCCTAGAATAAAGCTGCTACCTAAAACTAAATAGGGGGAACCCGTTTTGATTGAACTTTCTATAAATGTCCCACCAGGAACCCCGTTAGAGGAGTTACACCCTTCTGAGGCTCGACCCTCTAACATTTCAAGGGCTTGGGTGTCCTAAAAATATACCTAAACTCTCCACAAAAGCATAAACATATCAAAACATAATGCGGTAAACATGCTGATATATTTATCCGGTCATTGAATGGGCTCTTGTGCTGTTTAACTCGGATTCCTGCGGTCACACAACCAGCTAATCCTGCATGTGTTTCTGTCTTAACCACCTAAGCTGTAAAACAATAGGATTATTCTGCCCCACTTCCATGATCCATGAGCACTCGCGCAGATTGACGTGTACAGAACGTGTGCGTGAGCAATTGCACACGCGGCGGATGGTTATATTATTTGACGCGCTGTGAAGTTTCATAGCGTACTTTGTTTCTGGTTTGTATTATAATGTAAGACATAGATCTGAGGCGGTGGGTTCAGTAATGCCGGCTGTCAGCGTTGCCTCTTACTTTGATATTACATCATAGACTTAGATCTTTAGCAGCCTGTCTGCTTTACGTTATTATAGGATCACCAAAAAGAAGAAAGAAAGAAATCCAGGAACCACATTACTGCAAAAAGCGCGACACGCCATCGACATTGTATTTAGGTAAAGTCAACAGAAGAAACATTGTTTCAGCAAAGCCACACCTCGCACTTCTATAATTAAACAGCTGTAACACGCGCCCGTAATTCCAGCCAAAGCCTTTCGCCACTTTGCCACCGTGTGGCTTCACTGGAGCAAATGGAAGTCTAAGGCAATTGTCAATGACAATCACCTCCTAACGTCTGTTTCTAACCACTATACCTTGACCTCTGCCGTGGGGTCGAGGTATAGTGCGGCATTCTTGAGTTTGGGAGCCGCTGCGTTAGAGGATTCAAACAGCTGTTTGACCTCCGGGTCATTTCACTCACTCAGGAACCTTCCTTTGCAAATTTGACAATTCAAATCCACCTTAAGCGTCCCGGCGTTTGAAGGGCGGAGAGGAACCCCGCCCAGATAACGACGTATACTCACGGATGTTGTCGGTGGTCTCCTGCACAGTGTCGGTCTTGAGGAGGTTGTCGGCTAACATAAAAGCCCCTGTCTCCACCGTGTCGAGGAGAAGAGTGGCCGAGTGCAGCTGCCCGCTGACGGGCAGCTCCCTCCACGCCGCCTGGGCTCTTGGCTGCAGCAAATTGTTTACCGTCTCCACCATAGCCTGGAAGCAGGAGAAAACACGGCGGTCACGCAGAGGCAGTCGCTGCTCGCTCTTTTATTGCTTTCGGTCAATATTGCTAATGTGGAAATGAATGTAAACAGTGTTTCACCACAACAACTGAAGCCAGCGGTCAGCCGGACACAACGGTGAGAATGCAGTGGCTTTTTCATTTATCACGCTGATAAATTGTGACAACAACAGAAAAATGTGGCATTCCCATGCGGACGTGACAAAGGCAAAACACACAGAAGCTGTTAAACAAAAAGAGCATTTTAGGTTGTTCCAATGCGTTCGTGCCGAGCATCACGGGAAGGCCCAGTGCTTCTGTTAGCTCGTGTGCTACGAGCAGGCCCACTTTGACTCCTTCTCCTCCCTCCCAATGCCCAGCTGGTTCTGACCGGCCGTCATTACCGTGCAGCTCAGTTGGCACCACACGAGTTTGCCGGCAGCAGAGCAGATGGGAGCTCTGGAGGAGTAGCCTGCCAGCCGGGGGGGCTCATTAGTGCATTACCGATCCTTAAGCACTGGTAAAGACACTACTCAATAGCTGGTGTAGGTTATGTGAGAGTTTTATAAAAGGGTTAGCATCAAAGGCCTTGTTAAGCTAGCTCGGATCCAGTTATGTAGTTTAAATAAAGTTAATGTCAGCGGTTAGTTTGTCCCACTTGTTTCATCAAAGTAACAAATGTTGTTGGAAAGTTCTAAAAATGTATTTAAAATGTACTTGCACTGACACAACAATAATGAAGTTAACCAAAAAGGGGAAAAAAGTTTCCATCCTACATGAACCAATGATGTCCTTGGAACGCCACAGCTGCAATCAGACCCGTCTTGAAAAATCAAGCTAAGCTAATTAGCTGATTGCAATCACCATGCGTCTACACCCCCGAACCTGGTTCATTCCTGTCATATTTCTTTTTTTTATATAAGCAATGGTCTTTGAGTTTGAAAAACTCTTCGAATAAATGATAATGTCTGCTGGGACGCATCCACGTCTTCCAAAAATATGACCAAACGTACCAGTTCACGTGGATGAATCTACGTGTAACAATACTTATTTTGTCTCCACCTCAAATTCCATTCTGTTCTTCAGAATTCACCTGCTCATTTTCATACATGAACACACGTCTTAAAAGAGCCTGAGAGAAATAAAGAAGGCGAGAGAAATGAGGGCTTTTGGAGAAGAGGAGAGAGCGAGAAGAAAGAGGGGAGAGCCTTGGGAGAGCGATGAAACACTCCAGTGAATCCATGGTGACCGGCGTCCGCTGGGAACCAGAAATGGGGGGGGGGGGGGCGCGAATACAGGTGCTATCAAACGCACACATCTCACACTGCCCTGGCTGTCTCTTTATTTCCCTTTTCCTACGACTGTAAACCACTGTCCCCTGAAACGCATTTTCATCCCTTCACTTGTCTCTCGCTCCCCCTGAGGAAAGTGGGTAAAATAAGGAACACACGCGCCGTTCTACAAGCGAAGCTGGGGTCGTCCAGGTGGGAATTGAAAGGGTGAGAAGGAGGAGTAAGGGGCCTTGGTTTATTGGCGTTTACAAATCAACCATTTGACTTCCACCTCTGCCCCTTTTCGGGGGGTTCCGGAGAAGCGACAGAGCAAGATGCAGGATGCAAGACTAGAATAGACTAGATGCAACGGGGTTCATCAAGATGCAATGAGAGCGTGTGCAGCGGGTAGAGAAACACTGTCGACCTCTACGATCAGAGCTAATCCCGCCTGTCTACAGCGGGCGTGTGACCTCCACATGTAGATACAGTAAATATCACACACGTGAAACGGTTGCTCTGCCAACGAGCTAATATGATAATGTTATGCCCTCTTTTAGCGCTCGAGGCTAATTAGCCGGGCTGCATATCGGATGAGTTTAGAAGGTGTGCATGTAAACAAAAGCTAATTAATCAACCGCCTTTGCAAACAACCAGAATAAGCAGGAGGGGATGTGAGGCTCGCACGCGCGTACGTACGTTGTTGTTTGCTGTGACAGAAGACGACACGCTGCTTCGAAGGAAAATCAAGCTTTTTGCAGGTTTGGTAATCACTGATATCAATTAATCATTTCAGTTTGAAGCTATAATTTTGACAGCAAAATCAATTTGGAAAGTTACTCCTGCTAATTTCTGTTGGTGACGGTGACTACAGCTACCTGGAGGGAGGCGCGCTACGCCTGCCAAGCGCCGACAGAGCACGGCGAGCGAGCGCGACGAAGCACGAGAAGTAGCTTAGCCTACTTAGGGAACTGGTTGTGTGCATGCATATGTGCGTGTGTGTGATTGTGTTTACTACGCCTCAGGTTGTTTTAATGCAACGCTATTATTTTTACTTTTGACTTACGTACTTGAGTATAACAGTACTTTTTACGTCAGTTACATATTGTACATATTCTGCCCCAAACTTTTTTTACCTTAAGGGTTTGTTGTTAATGTGTGCTCCACACAGCACTGTGTGTGCATGGATGAGCTCATATGCAGTGACATGTACATTCCAGTGTTTGTGCATGTACATGGGGAGGACGTGTTCTGTTAAAATGTGTGTGTGTGTGTGTGTGTGTGTGTGCGCCGGGAGAAGCATTGCAGCACATCATTCTGCTCCACTTGCTGTACAGTAGCATGCAGACACAGAGCCGCTGATACCGCGGCAGTGCCACTGCTTTCTGTTGGCTTACGTTCACTCTGATGTGTTTTAGATCACCTCCTCTTCTCCGCTCTCATTCAACTTTTTTTCATTGCTTTTTATTGATCTTTTGATTATCTCACATTTTCAATTTCTTATTATTTTTTTCATTGAAAATTTCATTTGCACCGCGGAGATTGGGATCTGGAGAGGAAGAGGTAGATAGGTAAGGGAGAAGGAGGGGTGTGATTTACTTTAGGTGCAGACATCTCCACATCAGAAAGTCAGTGATGGACGACACGTGTTTGTCTGTGTGTGTGTGTGTGTGTGTGTGTGTGTGTGTGTGTGTGTGTGTGAGCTACGGTGCCTGTTGGTGACATTTCTATCAAGTATGAGGACTTGAGGGCTAGAATGGAGACAGGTTTTCTTTTTTTTTTAGAGGTCTTCAAAGAGGGGAGAGCCTCTGCAGAGACAGATAAGGGTTTCGTTTGTGTGCATGTGTGTGTGTGACTATGACTATGTATTACGGGCTAGGCATGTGCCCACACGCACACACACACACACACACACAAGTACGGAGGAGCGGGGGTGGATGGGGCAGAAGTGAAATGCTTTGAAGCGTTGGGGTAATCCAGCGTAAACAGCCCTGGCAGGACAGACTGGGCTGGGCTGTCCTGCTACTCGTAGTGGGGGGGGGGGGGGGGGGGGACGCACATAGGAAGGGCCGTGCATGTGTATCAGCGCATTGACCGTTTGGACAAGTAGAAGTATGGGAATATGTTGTTGTTGTGTGTGTTGTATTGAGTGGCGGGGGGGAAAGAATGGATTTTTTTTCTTCTTCTTTATTTCTCTTTTGAGCCGCCTGGCTGAGCACTGAGAAAAGTGCGTGTTTGAAAATGTTTTTCATCAGAGCGAGCGGCTTATCGGTCGGTTGTTGTTGTTGTCGGGAGTTTGTCTTTTCTGACAGGATGAGTTCGCAGCTAAATCAAGCTTTAAATTCACAGCGCGCCATGTTCTGACCCGCCGTCCATAAATAGAGGGCAAATCAGACATTGTCATTGAGCATCACTGTCTCCTTGCTGCACCCCCCCCTCCTTTATTGTTTTCCTTCTCTCTCGCTCTCTTTTGCATTTCATTTCTCTTTCTGTGACTCTCCTCCGGTTCTGTTTAAATCCCCCCCCCCCCCGTTCCCAATCTCTGTTTGTTTTTTTGCACGGTGCACCTTGCAAACTCCACCTTCCTCCGTCAATTCGTCCCTACAGCATGAAAGAAATCCTCTCCACACCACCAACTTCATCATGAATAAATTGCCAATTTAGTATACATGGAACGAGTCTCCAGCTCGCCAAGCGAGGGGGGGGGAGACAGACAGAGAGGAGGAAAGAGAGAATTCAATTATTTTTTTGTCTCTATTAAGAACCCAAACCTCCTGCCCACTATCCTCACTTGGCAATTAGTGCAGTAGATAATTAACGAGTAGAGGGCAGCGCCACGGCTCGTCCCTAATCACGCACATTTCTGTCTGGGCGACAGTAAGAGACTGTTGGTATAATTTTGTTTCACATTGCTGGGGCTAATTATAGAATTGATCACTCCTAAGCCCCCCCCACACCCGCAGAACCACAAGGTGTGTGGCGGCGGCTGTTTTTCGCACGTCAACCTGCGACTCGAAAAAAAGGATGCGGGATCGCTTGTAGATGGCGAGATCCCAGTTGATGACATGTTTGTGGCGCGTGTCGGCTCACATGCAGTCCTGAGCCCGTGTTCTGTGATGTGACATTGCTGACTGGTGCTGACGTTAAGACTTTTCAGTGGGGGAGGAGCGGGGAGGGGACGGGGGGGGGAGAAAAGCCTGCATCAGGAGAAAAAGAGCTAGCCCATCAAGGGTGTGTGTGTGTGCGTGTGTGTGTGTGTGTGCGTGTGTGTGTGTGTGTGTGCGTGTGTGTGCGTGTGTGTGCGTGTGTGTGCGTGTGTGTGCGTGCGTGTGTGTGTGTGTGTGTGTGTGCGTGTTGGGAGGATCCAGAGACACTCTGCAGTCTGTACAGCACAGGAATAAGGAAGGCGGCGTCCCCTTGATGTTCTGACTAGTGATTTCTCACATTTCTTTAAAGCTGACCAGAAACATCCTCATGTGATGTTTGCTCGAGCCGGTGACATTGACATCAACACAAGCACCGGGGAGGAGAAGGTGGGGAAATAAATCAACACTGGGAGCAACAAAACTCCAGCTGCTCCTATAGTTTTGTCCTGATGTCGTTGAAGCCCCCGTGACAGATCAGTATGCAACAGTAGCGTCCAACTGGCTCGGCTGTTTCTCAGCGGACGTGTCGCTGAGTGGGGGAGGATAGGCAGGCCTGATTTACAATTCAGCGGACAGAGCTGGAAAAATAGATGAGCTATTATTGATATCGATCCGGGCTTCATATCAGTGCTATTGATTCTGTAGGGGGGATTAAAATAAAAAGTCAATCATCTTCTATGCCACTTATCCTCACAGGCTGGCAGCTGGAGCTGGAGTCGATACCGGCTGGCATTGGGGCGCGAGTAGCGGTGCAGCCTGGACTGGTGGCCCGTCAATCGCAGGGTCACCAGTCCACCTGTCCTGCACTTTGGACGCTGGGAGGGAGCCGGAGTAGGCGGCTTCAAAGAAAGGCCTGTTGTCGGGTGTGAACGCAAGGATCTTCTTGCTGGGAAGAGACACACTACTGTGCCACCCTAAAATAAAAGGTGATATTCAAAACAAACGAATGCGAAACCCTTTGAGGAGGCTCAAGCCTTTTAGTTGGTTTCGTGGCACCAGCGCTCCGGGTTCAATGTAAAGCCTTCCTCAAAGGGTTGGGTTTGCAAATCATGTGACGTGTGATCGCACACCCGCAAGCTTGCTTTGCCGGAGCACATGCCGAGTGTGAGCAGAGCAGAGAGCGGAAAAACCAAAATAATACATGGTCTGTGGTGTGGCAAAGTAATCAACGATACCAAGAAGTGGAAATACCTGTGTGAAAAACCTGCAGGACCTTTCTCTCTTCTGAAGCTGCAAATTCAAACAGTTCAGCTGTTAGCGATGTAACACCTCTCAGTCGCGAACACACACACATCTATATCTGTATACACGCTTGTGCGCCGAACCACTTCATTAAAATGAAACTAACTCTTTTGTATGTCCCCTCCCCACCACACACACACATTTCCATTCATCCTCATGAGCGTCTTTCTGCAGATTGCTTATAATCATTTTCCCTTCCTCCATTCCTTCTTTATCTTCTCATTCTCTGCATCCACTGTAAACTTAATTGATGGCGTTAATTACCACGCCACTCGTGCCCGATTGGCTGCACGCGACTTCCTTTGCGGAAATTTGCATAATAAGCGGGCGAATTACTTAATTAGGTACATATAATTGGGCTATTATTGACAACAAGAGGAACGCTTCTCCTCTTCAATGGAGGACTTTATTTTCTTCTTTCTCCCATTTATTGAACCTTTTTAAACAGGGCATTTGGTCAAGAACCAAACAGAGATTAATGTATTCCACTCACACGTGCACACGTGTCACACCGATTTACTCGCCGTGGGGTGGGAATGTGTGAGAGCCGTATAAGAGGCTGCTGAAATCCCCCGTCGGCTGACCTCAGCTGAGGAGACGGAGGAACAGTCAACAGCTCTCCAAAGATTTAACTCGCTAATCGGACGTCTACGTGAACTAAGCAGAGAAATAAACGATGTCCTTGTCTTGGTCCGGTTCAGGACACCTTCAACCGTTGAAATGAATCGCGTTGACTTCTTCAATCCGTCCCTTCCGCTACCACTCCCTCATCTTCGCCTCGCCTCCTTCCCCATCGCTCAATCGCTCAAAACACATCGACTTCCCAGTTGGCTTCAGAGGCCGTACCTTGGTGAGGCTTCGGGCGGCGCTGTCCTTCCCCCCGGGGGTGAGGTTCCTGAGCTGGACGTCCAGCAGCTCCACCAGCTGGGCCATGGCCCTGACCGTGGACGGCACGTCGCCGGGCCGCAGGACCCCTTTGGTCTGCTCCGCGAGCTCCCTGGCCACGATTGCCGCCGTCTCGCCCGAGCGGAGCTGGGAGCAAAGCGGGCGACAATGATTGGGGGGGGTGAGGATAAAGTGGAGATGGATGGACACAAAGTTAGATCAGTGAAAGGGAAAGTTGGGAGCAAAGTTAGAGTAGGCGTAAAAAGGAGGACAGCGAGGGGGGGGGGCAGAGTACAGTGAACGGGGGGGGCAGAGTACAGTGAACGGGGGGGGGGGGGGGTGAGAAGTAATTGTGGAGGAACCGATGAGAACAAGGAGGAGCAGGAGAGTGAATGCAGTGTTGTGTTTCTGGCTCCTTTTTATAACCGTTATCATAAAAACATTTAATATTACTTTAAAGAGACGACCCCCCCGCTTTAGCACCTGTGCTGCAATGCAATTTCACAGCGGCCATTTATTCTTGTTTTGTCTTGTAAAGAAAACCCTTAAAGCCTTGTGAAAACAGACACAACGCCATAAATTGAAAATTGTGGGGGAGTCATAAGTTGGGCAGCAGTGATTTTCACCCTTGCACGATGCAAAGCAATTCTCCTGATGCGCGTTGGCGTGTTCCTACGGCGAGAGGGAGCGACCTTACTGGGTGTTTCTCTGGCAACACGGCTTAGGGTTAACGAATACAGATGGATATTCGGCCGCCGTCCTACCCCGCAGCCGGTGGCTCTCCATGCATGAAAACCCGCCCCCAGGGATATATATCCGTAACCCCCCCCCCCCACAAACACACAAGCCCCTCGTGCCCCAAGACCGGGGCTCGGGCGTGGAAGCGGCTCGGCCCGGTGGCGGCGCTCAGACTTACTTTCTGCATGATGTGGTTGACCCACGGCGACGTGCAGTTGCTGAGGTCGGGGCCGCGAGGATCCCAGTAGCCCAAATGGGCCAAACACACGTAGGTGGCCACGCCTTCCAGACAAGAACAACAGACAGGGTGAGACATTCCCCAGAGACACCAGGACCCCCGAGGGGCCCGCGGTTCACTCAGCAGTGTGTGTGTGTGTGTGTGTGAGAGTGATGGAAGACGGATTATAGAACCTCATGTGTCCACTTTTTGAATAAAGATGTGTATGTGTCTACAGTAGGATATAGAAATACATTTGTTGTTCCCTGTTTCTTTACATCCAAACTAGTGGCAAAGAGGAAATCCAGAAGCCAGGGAAAGTAATCAGAGAACTCGTAATAGGATAGTGATTACGTTTTGTATCTCGTAATTACTGTGTGTGTGTGTGTGTGTGTCAGTGTGTTTGTAGCACGTAAATCTTTCACTTCCAGTATTTAATTGACAAGTGAATTAATTTGTGAAACACATTGAAAAACAGCCCTTTAGGCTTTAGTGGACAGCAAGTGTCCACTAAGGACAGAGGCGTAAGAAATTAAACACCAATTAAGGTCAATTGAAAATGAACCCTTTACATGTAAATTACTTAAATGTGTACAATAAATAAATAGACTAAACTGAATTGTTGGAGATATTACGTAGGCGCTTTAGATGATGAGGCTGCACGTGGAGAAACACGCAAAGCGTGATGCACAGTTCAAATCGCACACAGCAGCTTTTCACCAGCTGTGATGATAATCAATGTTGTGAGCTGCTACTTTGGATTCTGCGTTTGATGGCAGTTTCACTTAATAAAACGATCTGAAAGTTTTTCCATCTTTACCAATGAAACACCTCTAGCACGGTTGGTTACAATTGTATTCCTACAAGATTTGTGCTCAAAGGGGAACGAGACTATTTCACGGGATAAAGCTTTCACACACACACACACACACACACACACACACACACACACACTCTAACCAACCATTGGCTGGTCCTACCATGTCTACCTTCTCGGTACACTCCACCCGACCGCGCGGCGTCCTTACCCAGCGTCCCCACGGGGCACGGCTGCTTGGCCGTCTGGCCCTGCTGCGTCCTGGGCCACGATATGTCGGCCGTCAGCCTCGGATTGCAGAAGTCTTGTGGGGGCAGGGCGGGGGGCTGCGGGGCCGCCGGAGGCAGCTGCACAGGAGGGGGGCGCCCCCTGGCCTTCTGGTCGGTGTCGGGGATCTGGTTGGTGTCCGACGACGAGCCGGCGCCGGGGCCCAGGACGGGCTGGCGAATGGTGGTGGTGGTCCGAAAGCGCTGGCCGGGGGAGGTGGTGAGGAGGCCCCGCGGGGTGGTGTAGTACGGAGGGGAGCGAGTGGTGGTGGTGGATGAAGAGGAGGAACCCCCAGCGGCACCTGGACCTCCCCCTCCTCCTCCTCCGCTCCCTCGGTTAGGAGGCACCATGGGAGGGGGGCGATAGTCTGAGGAGAAAGTGCATGTTTTTCAAAAACAAAACCAAGGAGCCCGGAAATGTGTTGTCCCCACATGACTGGTGCCCGGGTGTTTAACTGAGCCACACACGCCAGAAAATGAGTTCAAAATGTGTTACCAGGACGCACAAGTAAGAAGAACAGAGTTAAAAGAACTGTGATCAAAGGAACCATCTGCGTCGGCACCGGGGGACGGGAGCAACGGCCTCCAGCGTGAATGATATTTCTGTGGCGGACACAAACAGCCACTCGTTTAAACAGCGCTGAGGAGCCGCGACAGAGAGTAGCTCGTGTTTCTGATGACTTCCCAATGTTACCGTTTCATCCCACGTCTGCGTAGTCGCCAGATCCCATTTCTTTCATTATTATTTCCAAACAACAGCGTGTGTACTGAAGTGGTGCTAATTAAAATGTATGAATTACCCTTATGCGAATGGATGAGATTATTCTTCACTAAAAGTCTTACGCTTTCTTTTTCTCTCGCCTTGTCCGGCCTTCGCTGCATTGTTGTGGGCACATGTGTCAGATCGCGGTTGGATAAACGTGGCGCGGTTGATACGGGCGCTTGTGGGAGTCAAACATTTAGTTTGCTTTCTGAAACATCACAGTCCAAAACAATGCGCGCGTCCACGGAGGGCTGCCCCAGCAAAACGCCCGTCAACCCCGAATCAGTGGCTCAAAATATGAGCACGGCAGCGGACATTGGCAGGGCTGTACGAGGGCAATTACTGCCGCTTTATTTCTCTCTCTTATCTATTGATCTCCTCGTGCCCTTGTGTAAAATAGTGCTTACTGTCTTGCCATCGTGACCCATGTGTTTTGGCAAGATACGCGTCTCCGGTCCAAAGATATTTATAGGTCCATCGTCAGCTTTTTTGTTCCCCGAGACAATAAGTCCGCAGACTGTTGTCTTAAATCAATATCATCAGCGAAGGGAATTTCAGCACCGCCCGACCCCCAGTGCACTCCGAGCAGAGCAATTGGTTTGACCCGCGAACGTGCACAAGGTTAGCGATCTGTCCTGAGGGACGGGGACGCAGCCGGGCTGTGGCTGTCCAACCCGGCAGAAAGAAAGGACAAAAAAAGAAGAAGATCTTAGTCGTCCATGATTCATAACACTTTGACATCACGCGAGGCCGGGACGTCACTTAAATGCATTCGAAACACTCTTTTACTGTCAATATTTCATATTGTCGAAAAGCTTCAATTATTCACGTTGACTCCGTTCCAAGGACAGAAATGAAGAGCGCGTGTGTGAGAGAGTCTTTGTGTGGTGTCGTCCTCCCGTGAACACACAATAGCAGCGCGACTCTCTCCACCGACGCCACAATCAATAGCGTGAGTTGGAAAAGTCGGGAGGGAGGGATGTAATTATTTACAGCGTTCCCTCACTTTCTCTTTGAATGATGTTGTCGTCCTTGAATCGTTTGTGTGACATTATGTGTAATGATGCCGACAGGTTCCCGTTTTGCATTAACAAAGCATCCGTCTCTCACTGTGCAACACTTCTATTACACCTGCAAGATTACCCAAATCGGTTTGTATTGTATTTTTGAATAAACATGTCAATTATATTAATGAGTATAAATATCTTTAGAAATTGTAATAACAGGAAACCAATACTTTGTTTGGGTTTACTGTATTTTGCTTAATTTGGGGTTCGATGTGCAGAAAAGGACTTTCCCGCTGTGTTTTTCTTTCTCTTTTGGTGCAATGTTGTCATTTGTTTTTGATGCTTAATTTCGGCGCGTACGGCCGTGTGGGAGTTCTTTAGCAGCGAGTGGGTGTTTTATATTGTTTACTGTGAACCAGAGTCGTCCCTCGCTGTGGGTTTACTCAGACTCTCTCTGCCTGTCTGTCTGTCTGCTTGACTGACAGCCATGAAACACCTCCTACGCTCTTGTTCTGTCCCTCCGCAACCAAATGGAGTGTTTCCGTACCTAAACGGCGCCGCTCCCCGTTCCCGAATCCCCCCCCTGCCCCGGTTTTGTGCATTATTCTCCACGGAACGTTGCCGTCAATCATGCGCAGCAGAAGTGGGCTAGGGACTGCCTGTCAATCTGTGTGTGTGTGAAGAGCCCATCCAGTGGAGAGCATGTGTGTGTTTGGGCTCGTCGGTGTACCGGTTCAAACGTTCATAGCTGTTTATTTATTTACACGTCATCGAGGAGAGATACTCGTCTAATGTGTGTTGAGATTGAGTCACGGTCATAACTCATACATACACGTAAACCAACCAGCGGCCCGTTCACTTGATCCCGTCCTCCTTTCTCTCATTGCAACAATCTTATTTCTAATAGAAGAACCGCCGCTGTGGAGAACCGCAGGAACGGCTTCATGAAACATGCACAGAGGGGAGCAGAGGCCGGGGGGGCTGTACTCTTGGGGGGACGGATCTTCCAACGTCAAGCTCAGGAAACCTCGAGTAAACGCACCACGACAACTCCACGCGCTCTATCGCCTGGGACGGACGCCGCGGGAACCAGCGGGCGACCCAAAGAGTGAAAACCAAATTCAGCTTGGATCTCCGCTCCATGTGTGACGTGCTCGTGCGTGCGGGTGACACATTTTGACAGATGCGTTGCCACGGTTGTTGTGCGATAACGGCTCTCTAGGACGAATGCAGCTGTGTGCGGTTGTAGTGCTTTGGGGACAACGCTGAACACTTTACTGTCTTTCTATTGAACAGAGATATGGCAGCGAATAATGAGCCTGTCTACAATAATACCAAGCGCATACTAATGCAGCTGTCTTTAAAGATTGTATCATTTTGCACTAAAGTTCTAATCTAATTGAGGAAGTACTTTCTCATTTGTCAAGCATTAAACAGGCTTTCAGATGACTCACAAGTCAATATGTCACAACATGGCCCATGTTCTTTAAGTAGATAAGGGATAGTTAGAAGGTGCCGATGGGTGAGGTACCTACGACGTCCCGCTTTGTTCTCAGGGTGATTCTGCTACTGGAAAGAATCAGCTTTTATTTTAAGTAGTCTGATCTCTAAATAAAAAGGAGTTTAATTTGACTGCTTGTCTTGATTCTTGAAGTAGTCGCCATGAAAAGTGGAATAGAATATTCACGACGTGCATCAGTGAAGATTCACGGCTTCTAATGTGATATAATTAATTTAATAGAATAGCATATTATCACTGTGGTACACTGTTGCCGCCGGCACTAATCAAATATATGAAACAGAACCCTCTATTATAAAATAATGTTTTTTTCAAATACAAATTGCTTGAAATAATGAATTTTGACAATATTGTGCGTATTATGATGCATGAAAATGATGCAATTGCACTAATAGCTCTTGAACACAAAGTTTGTACTATTCTATTCTACAGGTCAAATCCCACTCACAGGAAGTAGATAGTAGAACAATAGATAACTACTGTGACCCGTCTGCGGGATTGTTTTCTCCTGTTTACAAGGTCAAGACTAAACGGTCCCCTTCCTGCTTAAAAGATACGAGCAGCCCTTCAGATTCTCCTACTCCGTGACAACGGTTCTCCTGTTCCGCAGCCTTCTATTCTCCACGCGGCTTGTTTTCCCGACCCGTAGCGAGCCCGGGGGAAGGTGAGACAATGGCAGTAAACTTGTTCCCGGAGTTGTTCTCTGCCTGTCACCACACCGACGGGGCCGCAGAGATGCTGTCAGTCAGCCTGGGGACGCTGCCGCAGCATCATCTGACAAATGAGTGAGTGTGTGTGTGTGTGTCAGACTGTGTGTGGCGGTGTTTTTCTGTGTCGGTACGACGGTCTCCGCCTCCGTTTGCTGAGAACCCCCTTGTTGACTCGTCACTCGGCAAACAGAGTGGATCGTAAATCCACGAGCCCCCAAAAAAGGTAGGAGGAGAGGGAGGATGAACATCCCGCCTGGCGAGTATCCCACATTGGCAGACAGCGGGGGAGGGAGGGGGGGAGGGAGGGGGAGGGAAGAATGGAAGCAAAGAGTTCAATCAAGACAGAAGTTCCCTGCACTGAGACCAAGTGTCTCTTCTCTGCTATGGTCGGCTCCTTAATATGCTAAGACCATTACTGCAGTGCTCCTCTAAAAGTTACTGCCTCCTTGCCTCAACGCACACACACACACACACACATACACACACATACCCACACACACGGAAAGAGACACCCTGGATCCAGAGGGGCAACAGCAAAACGATAATCTGACTGCAGGGCACAGCGCTTTCCAGGGTGGATGGCGGTGCAGACATTCAATAGGGGTGCATGCTGCGATAACGCGCCGCGCCTGTGGCTGGAGCACACACACACACACACACACACACACACACACACACACTCACGCACACACACACACACACACACTTTTACTTTTCATTGGCTCGGACTCGCTGATAAGACGCAGCACTTCAAAGCAGTGATTCTTGGGAGATAGGATGCCAGCGAGCTCCGCCGGGTAACGTCGCCACGTGGCGCCCGCCGGCAGGTCGCGTGGGGGCGCCGCCCCCGTCACAACTGCAGCAAGTTTACGAATGATGCGCTGATTCCTTTAGTGCGTGATGAGGAAATCATCAGCAAATGGTCCAGACTGTGGCCGTGCGTTACTGTAGATCCTATGAGGACGGGTAGTGGGCTCTGAACATGAGCCCACTCACCTGTTTGGAGAGCTGTAGCGACACTGTGGCTGTTTGACCCTTTGAAGCATTTCAAAAATTAGGATTGTATTTTGCTACGCCTCCATTAGACAAACTAAAGAAAACAGAGCCCAACCACGGCTGCTCTCCTCTGTGTTTAGTTCCCGCGGGGCTGCAGGTTTTCCCTCTCCGCCCCGGTTGACCTGGCGAGGGCCTGAAGTTTGGCCGGTGAGTTAAATTGGTTTGGCAGAGCGGAAGAGGCGCCGGTGCTAAAAGGTGCGCAGAGTGCCCCGGCCCAGGCGATCCGATCGATAAGGATGCACTGCAGGCGGGGAACGGGTGCACCGGACTCTCTGAAGCCAGGTTCAATCTCCCCCCCGTGTGTCGAGAAGTGTTTGGGAAGGATGGAAACGGGGGAGGACAGGAGGTGAGACGAAGGCACCCAAGACCCCGTGAGGTCGGGTCAGCAGTCGCGGCGGTGTGCAGTGGAGTGGATTCCTGTCACATGGCAGAATTGGACCATTTCATTTAGGAAATCTCCGATCTGGTTCTAGGATTAGCCAGCACACAGTTGTTTATTTGGTCTTTATATATTGCGTTTTACGAGGGCGCTTGCTTGTGTCGAGTGGTGGCAGAATCTTGCTGAGGCTTCGCCGAATTAATGATCCGGGGAGACAAGGTCTCCACTTCAACCGTTAACTCTTGTTATTCCCTCCACTTCAGCTTGCCAACAACATTTCCTGCACTGCTTAGCCTTGTCACTTGATTGCAATCTGGTGCCGAGGTAGGCAAGAAGGGGAGGGGGGCTAAAGACAATAGGAACGCCATGCTTGACTTCCTTAGGAAATGGAACTCTGTAATTCGGGCCATTAAGAGTTCAAAGGTGAACCTCTAAAGACAAATAGAGGTCATCTCTATATGACTGTGTAGAGGCTTAAATACCAGCATTTGATTACTCGTCCAATTCATTAATTCCCTGAAACGCTTTCTCATCAAAGTGGCTGGTTTTAGTTGATATGATGTGGAAGTAGCAGCAGCAACACGTTTTACCTATTTGTCTAAGTGTGGCAGCTATAATTAAAAAAGTTTGACCCCAGAAATAAAGGTTTGGGAAGCAATGTTCAATTTGACTCCTTGCTAAGTCCCGCCCCTCCAGCGTAGTGTTAGCCGGCTCCACACAGTGTTGATGATGAAATGAGGATATTAATTCAGGGAGCGCAGCGACAGTGGGGGGGTCCATGGGAAAGGAGCTCTGGCGGCGTGATTAAGTGGGGTGGAGCTTAGCTGAGGGTCCAATGAAGAGAAGCCCTCAGGCACTTTAAATCTTTCACTCAAGTGAGAAGGGACTTTGTATTTGTGGTTAGATGGATGTTACACTAAATCTTAATGAATTTCAGTCAACCTAGAAACAAATGCACAGAGAAGAGAAAGAAAGGCAGGGCTGTCGGGTCTCTGGATGTCTTTTGTTGTTCATTTTCTTGTACCTGAGTATTTGTTACGATGCAAACTGTCAAGTTTGAGTTATTTTCCGTAGCATGAGTTAGAGGTTGGAAAAATGTACACTGTAACAGGTTTAGTTTGATGTGTGTGAAAGCATTGCAATTATCCTGCAAGAATGTTAGTTATTTTGAAGAAAGACGTCGTCGTTATTATAAAACGCTACAGAACAGCAGATTTCTGTCTCCTTCTGATTAACTTCAAATAGTTTCTCAATGTGACAGAACCGAGGTGTCCCGGTGCTCCGGGGAATATGCGATCAGAACCTAATCAGACCATCAACCTTGAAGTTCATGAGCAGAGGGGGGCGTGCACCAGCAGAGCTCTGTTTAGCCTCGTCCCTGTTTGCCCCTCCCATGCCGAGGATGCAGATAACATTAATAATTTTGCGACTTTGCTGGGAAAAACTTTCTAAAGTGTGGCAAGGCAGACTGGAGATGATAAATTATTCAAATATTTCATCGGAGCCATGCCGCCTGCGAAGGGCAGGCTTCTATAATATGCATGTATGAAGACATGATGAAACAACTCCATAAACAGTAGAGAGCAAGAGAAAGTGTTTGGGGAGCGCGGGCTGGAAGGAGGGGGGGGGGGGGGGGGGCGGGGGACTTTGACTCTGTGTAGGCCCCCGATAATATACCCATTTGAGGACCCTCGATGCATTTACCTCGGGTGATGTGGGGGAAGGTCGGACGCGGAGTAAAAAGGGACGGCGCATTAAGCCCGGGGATGAGGACCACAGACCGGGAGAAGAGAAGAAGAAGAAGAAAAAAAACCCTTGGAGAAAAGTGTCTGGCACTTGTTATGGAGAGACGGGGAGAGGAGGGCATTTAAAGAAGAAACACTACTCTGATGTACCAAGGGAGCAGATCATCAAAAAGATCATCTTCTGCTGCGTGATCTGAAGGAATGCACAGGAGAAAACCTTCATATTATCTGTTGGCCTACGGTGAAGACGGGCGAACGGATCGGCCGATGGGGGGGGCGAGGGGTGGGGAGGGCGTTGGGGGGGCTGTGGTAGTCTTTGCACGGTAGCCGGCGGACGCTCGTGTCTGTTGAGGTGGATCTGCCGTGCGCTGCGAGGAGTGGAGAATTGTAGAAAAAAATATATGTATGTTGTAATTCCAGACATTCTGGGGAGGGCGGCAGGAACCCCCTCCCCCCCCCCCTCCTTAAACAATGTTATGGGAAACACTGCATGTGACACGGCTTCAGCATAGATGTTTATGTGTTTGCCAATGGGAGAGTTCATTTGAATTCTTTCAACACACATACAGGATTCAGAGCACTGATTTTTTTATTTTTTCTAAAGATTGAATTCAGGACTTTTAAATACAAGCACCAGAACTAGAAGTACCAGATTTAAAAAGTTTTGATTTAATAATAATTCTTATATAAACTTCAGGGTCCAAACCGTGCAAATGCATCAGAATGACCTCTTTTTGGTGGCCAGTGGGCTCCCATTGTTCGCCAGTTGGACGGACAAAACCCAGTAATTGGTGCTCTTTGTGTTGCACGCTAGCTGTACTCTGTCTTCAGTGGCCCACTCGTTCTCCACGGCCCATTTCCTGTCTCATTTTCTATCTCTTAAGAAGTCCATGTGAGCCGAAACAAAAACATGGCGAGCTCAGTAATAAGTGGAAATCCTCTGAATGGCCCCTTTCCTTGCTCTGTTTCCTGAACTCAGCATGGAAAAGAATAAAAACAATAAAAAAAACACGGAACATGGAAAGTTCAGCTTTACCGTATACGCTTAGCATATTTATACCGACCCTAAACCAAAAAGCAGAGACACAACAGTGTGAACTATCGGGTCCGCATTCCACAACCAAATCAGACTTGAACGAATCGACTTGTTGCTGCGTTTTCTGAAGAATGGGAAAATCATGCAGTTAAGGTGGTTCATTTAATGCTTGTCTTCATTAAGTGAGGGAGCGGAGCGCGCAGGGGGAGTAGGGGAGCGGGTTGCCATTGATTGTATGTATTTATCTCCCGCTGGTCAGCAGCCGGGCTTGTTGCTGTGCACTGGAGGTCATTCTCCACATTGAATTCCCATTGATCTCCTCTTCAGGGCCTCCTGAGACGCCACCAAATGCTCCATTATGAGAGCGATCACACTCTCAGAGCGCGCACCAATGAACACGTACGCACGCTCATGAATAGAGCAACACAAAACCCATGCCGCAAGTACATTAGCACGTTTTTGGCACAGGGGCATACACGTCGTTATGCGTAAACAGCCTTACATCTGCACACATTTCCGCAGTCAGAAACCGCCGCATGCAATTCACACTGGCACACTGATCGGTAGAAACCCAGTTTAACGCTGTCTCTCTCCATAATTCCTTGTACTGCGCTTCCTAACTGCGTGTAAGAGCATGCATTAATTCAGACATCATTTAATAAGACGTGCAGCCAGACTGCCCTGACCACTCCATAGAAAAGTGCTGAAAGGCAATTACACTGCGCAAATAGCCCTTCGGGCTCCAGGGACCTAAGCCCTTCCATCAAGGAAGGAGGTGAGGGGGTGGGGGGGGGGGGGTGGGGGTCTTAACACCAGAGTTGAAAGAGTTACTCTGGGTTACATAGCCTTCTTTGCCCTTTCGGTCGGACGCTGCGATAGCGCGTCTAAATGAGTCAACCTGCAAAAACGACCTCTCATCGCAGAAAATTGTTGACGGCAAACACTTATTTATGCATTGAGCAGTTTTTGTAAAGTTCCTTCTCCTCTGTTTTGGTCTCCACCAACCCTTTCTGGAAATATTCAACCTTTTGCAGCCAAATGCTCCACAATATTCCCCCTTTCTGTATGCTATCTGCACAGCAGCAAACAGCCAACCAAAACGCTTTGTGTAACAGCAACTGAGTCCAATTAGGGGCAAAATGTATGGAACTCGGCCCATTTGGGCCCGTTGAGAAGAGACAAGCCGCTCAACAGCAGCGGCGTATAAATGAGTCAATAATGAAGCGAAAAAGAACTCAATAACTTCAAACGCGAGTTGAAGTGTCCTCAGCCCGTCTTCATAAGTCCTGTGTGAAAGCGGTATTGGTTCCTGCTCCCTGCAGACACTCCTGGCTCCGTTCTCAAAGTGCATTACGGTTAAAGAGGTGGGGGGGGGGTAAAGAGAAGGCTGGCAAGTGGTACTGTAAGAGGCATTTACAGTATGTAATATCATTAGATATATTCCTCTAAAGGTACAGATCAAGGTAGTCTTCACAAGTTATTCCTTTAGTTGACTAAAGGAGAAATGTTTGCAGCTCCGCACACAATTTGAGAGGCACTCGAGCATCCAGGACTCTAAAAGTTTTATGTCGGTTTGTTTTTTAATTACCATGGTTCAGGTGGTGGGGGAGCAGTCGTAATTGAGAATTGTGACGGCACAGATGGTGCTTTTACTTTTTCTTCCATCCTTTAAGTCATTTGGCTGAATTAATTATTAGAGGAAGATTAGTGGTTAGAAGTATTCCTTATGTCACAACAACAGAAAAAGAATCCATCATTATGAATATTAGAACAAATGGATATTAAAAGCACTGTGAATATGCCATGTACTCCGATCGGCATCTTCCTCCTCCTTATTACGCCCGGTCGTGGGTAGAAAACAAATCTCATTACAAAGGCAGCGGGAGGAGGAGGCGGGTGGAAATGGGAGGCGGAGGAGGGACGAGGACCTACCGTTGTTGCCGAAGTCCAGCGAGTACTTGACCACGTGGTAGTTATTCCACACGTACAGCAGGTTGTCCCTGGGGTTGTAATCCACGGCGGCGATGTACTGGTAGGAGTTTGGGAACGGTATGCCGACCACCACCTCCTTGCTCTTATCCGTGTTGTACATGTAGTCGATCTTGTTGCCCGTCCCTTCGTTGTCGTCGTCCTCGTAGACGGTCTTCACCACGTACAGCACCCCGCAGATCATGAACGCGTTGGACGCCGAGCGCTTGTCGTAGCTGGTGTCCCACGAGCCCTCGATGCGCAGCGTGTAGGGGTTGAGCTGGCTCACCACCATGCGCCCGTTGTTCTGCTCCGTGGCGTAGATCACCCACAGCCCGTTCTCGTCCACCGCCAGGTCGATGTCCGACTTCCCCCCCCAGCGGTACGGCGAGGTGTCGTGGTAGTTGGCGTTGGCGATGATGGCCTCGCCGCTCTTGATGCGGGTGCGCAGGTCGAACTTGACGATGTTGCGGGTGCGCTCCTTGTTGAAGAAGAGCGCGCCGTCGTAGACGACGAAACCAGTCCCGTCCACGCGGTGCGGCAGTTTTGTAGGTGGTGGTGGGGCGGCCGGCGATGAAGTCCTCCTTCGACGAGTACTCCGTCAGCGTGTCCGTGCGGTACGGCGTCCAGGGCATGTAGTAGATCTTGTCGGAGGCCTGCAGAGGGTCTTTGCACCACGCGCCCGACTGGTGGTCCGACTCGAAGAGGTGCTCACTTTGGTAGACTCCTCTCAGAATGCCGGGGCAGAGAAATACTGATGGAGCAAATAAGAACGAATTAGAACGAACGCTTCTGCTCCCCGGGTTCTTTTGACGGGGCCTTGCAAACGTTTGGCTCTTTTGGTGAATGTCGAGTTGTGCCTCGACTCAAGCTTAACCACCAGTGAGCGGCGATGACACCATCGGCTCACGGTGTTGTGATTTGGATGCTGTTTAGTCGCTGTCATTCTTAAGAACAGCAACAGCATGCCTCCCATTCAGCAGATAATGCCCCGCTCTCACAGCTAAGAGGAAAAGAGAAAATGGCCTTTTTTTTCCTTCTCCTCCCCTCCCATTCAATTCCCTGCTCCTGCCTCCCTCCCTCCCTCCCTCCCTCCCCAGCTCCTCATTAGTCTCATAGCTGTTCCTTCCTTTACCCTTCCCTCTCTATCTCTGTCAGGAGCAACCAACTGTAGAGCGAACGCGCCTTTTATTGCCTGCTGTTTCTGCAATTGTTCTAATACTTCATTTCCCACTCGGTCCCTCGGTATTCCCATCCTGGAATACCGAGGTCATGTTTTACGAGTGGTGTGGGAGACGCAGTAAATCGTTGGTATACCGGTGCGACCGAGTCAAAGGGACCTTTTTTCCTAATTTAACTGGAATGTTGTCCAAGACGGGCCAGATGTGCATTGCGGTTTCCCCAATAACACTTTCGGACCCCGGCAACAAGGGGGAGAAGGGAATGTTAAATGAGTTTTCATTGGCTGTTTCAAAAGACTCGCCCAATTTCCATATCATGGGAAAGCATTTTGAAATATTAAATGTCAATGCAGTTCTCTGTTCATTGGCCCCTCATAAAAACGTGCTCGACCCGCAGAGAGTTTGTTAAGTGACATTCTGAGCGATACCATGAAATAATATGGGCCCTGAGTGTGTTTAATGAGAAACAGTGTTTCTAAATTGCCTCCATACGCTGAGATCAAGCCGGCTTGAAATAGCGGCAGTGACTTTGAGGGATGTCATTCCGCCACGAGGTAAAAAAGGCTTCAGGCGCTGCCATCAAAGTGACTCCGCAAACCAACGGAACCTTTTTTTTTTGTATTTTTGGGGCTTGCTTCTCAGGCTTACCTTTTTGTTCCACCTCTGCACGAGCCGGAGCCAAAGACATTTGAGGGGGGGGGGGTGGAAGAGACAAGAGACAAAAATAGATTAATGATGCAATAATAAGGAAATCATGATAATACAATCTCAGATCTTCATAATCATTCTCATATTTCATTGTAATCTTGTGAGAGCGGCAGGATGCTCTCCGTGTGTGATCCGTAATAACATTACGTAAGCGTCTGCGGAGCGGCCAAGCTATCTGACAGTAATGCACCCTGCGTATCCCCCCCCCACACACACATGTGGGGGACAGACATGCGCCATGCAGACTCCCCAGACAGGGAGAGGAATACTGATGGTAAAACACGAGTCTCAGTAGCTACGGCGACCCTGTAGTGTGCGGCGAAATGGGCAATAAGCTCTTGAATGTATGCGAATAGCTACACAGCAACAAAAAACGGTTCCCCCCCCACACACACACGTTAAAGCTCTTCCTGTGTGTCACCGACATCGTGCGACCAGGCCTAAGCCTCCTCGATGCAAGGGCTCGCTTCAACAACCTCCCCCCACCACCAATCGCCCCTCTGTTACATCCAAAGCGCTTTCCCCCCAGAGCTCCGTCAGTCGACCCAGCGTGCACACTCGCTCGGAGGCTCTTAAACGTATGAGTTTCATTCCACTTTGCTCCCAGAGGGGACCGAGTGGAATGTGAACATGGCAGAAACCTAATCCTGCAGGCAGTGCCCTTGTGTCTTTCTAGGCCATTAGAGACCTGCTGAATGGAACTGGTCCCCCGAGAGGGGAGGAGGGGAGGAGGGGAGGAGGAGAGGAGGGGAGGAGGGGAGGAAAGATGACGGTACTCAAAGGAAAAAACATTTCTAAGACTACGTATGGTACGTGTTGATTCCTTTTTGTATACGGTAGCTATACATATGTATATATGGCACACCATGAATACATTCTGTAATTCAAAAAGTCATCATCAGCCCGTAGATTTGCATAAAAAAAGACATCTGATGCGCAGAAACATGCACACACACGTTAAATCCTGGTCTCATGAAATATGCATGGTAACTGGTGCGGCTTAGCACAACTCCCGGATAAATAAGCAATCTCTGGGACAATCGTATTCAACCAACAGAAAAAAGCAAGCAAGCACGTGTGTGTGTGTGTGTGTGTGTGTGTGTGTGTGTGTGTGTGTGTGTGTGTGTGCGCGCATCTACTTGTGAAGCTATAAAACGGTTCGCCACAAGGAAGCAGTTGCCATGTGAGAGAAAGCAGACAGTGTGTCCACGCTGAGCACGGAACCACGGAACCACACACGTACATTTAAAGAATACCACAGGACACATCGTGGTTGAGATGACGAGGATTAATGACGCAGAACAACAAGGACTTCTAGTGGATTCTTCTACAACCTTCCCAACACAAAGGAGAAGGAGGTTTACAGCTGCTAATAGATTTCAAACAGGCTACGAGTAGGCTGCACCAAATGGCAAAGAAAATGTCACACAAATGTCATTCCATTTGTGTCGCCGCTTGTTGTTTCGCCGGATTGTGGGGACGGACGTTTTGATCTCCGTGACGGGTGAAGAGTGAACGCTGTTGTTGTGTCTCCCCCCCCAAAAGATTGTGGGCCTTCATCTGGCAGACCTGATGTACAGTGAGAAACGTTCCTGGAAAGAAGAAACGACTACGGACCACGATGCTTAGTATCGCTTAGACTCAGCTACTGACTATGAGAATATGATCAAACCCCGGCGCTGCGCGTCGCCTGTCGCGTCTCATATTCCTTAACGAATCATCTAAATATTCATTAGCTTCCGCGTTAATTGAATTTTTTCCCTGAACTTTAATGGCACGAGCTGCTCGGATACCTTCTCCTCTCTGTGTTTCCGGTACGCGTCCCAACAGAAGCAGCGCTAACCCGACTGTGCCGCGCCGTAAAGATAATTAGCATTTTTATTGGAAACATATGGTTTATTAAGTAGCTCTCCATCGAGGATGTGTGTGTGTTCCTGCAGATGAGTGGCGACAGTGGCCCTCATCGCCGCTATCTCTGATCCGCCATCAGCTCAGCGCGTCTAAAGCCCAAGGTCATTTGGGGGGGGGGGCGCAGCGTTTACCCGCCCCCCCCCGTCTTTCCATTATTCTATTATTCCTCTGGGTCCCTCTCGTCGCCACCGGCTGGCGTCGACGGCGACTCTCTCGCCGTCGTTCCGCTGTGCCCCGTCTCCCCCTTCTCTGTCACGTACACCCCCCCATTCCTCCCAAACCCAAACCCCATCCGCCTCTCAAGCGTGTCCCTTTTCTTTATCAGTTAATTCATTGGTTCTGTTCCTTGTCGGCGGTCCTCGTCTAATATATGTTCGATCTACGTTTGGCCCCCCCTCGCTCCCCTTTGCTTGGGTCTCTCTCTCCCCCCCCCCCCGTCCCCCCCATCCTGTCTCCGTTGGCTTGCTGTACCTCCTACACACAGCACGCACACATGTGGCTCTTATCACGATGAAGTTACTCCAAGGGTCCAATCTGACAGAAGCCTTTAATTGGACGGACAAGAAAGGTGATTTTATCTTTTAATTAGCTCTCCTACTGAGCCAAGTCTATTGTTTAAAATAGACTGCCCGGGTATTGCATAACGTATCGCTGGCTTTTCTGATTAATACACTAAACGAGGTAGCAGGCTAATTGCTTCATAACGACAGTCAAAGAGACAGGGGTCCGCTGCACGGAGATGAGGAAATAGATAGACACAATCCCAAGCGTTGCCAGCGCTTCTCCTTTCTTTCAGCAGATGACCACGAACGACGCGATACCAGTGGTCTGTTTGTTGTGTTTTTCATGCAGCATTAGCGCTTCTGGAGAAGTACTTTGTACAGTAGCTGCTGATGTACTGGATATTTATAGTCCTCCTGCAGTGCCACAAACAAGTATACACAGGTGGCTAATTACCGCCGAAGCTAGCCGGGCTAGTTTTGGCACACGACCAGCGCACACGTGTGCGGCGAGGAGAGCCAGCGAGTGAAAAGCGAGACTGAGAGCACTTGATTTTAGCTTTGGAAAAGAGCCCAAAAAAACCCAGAACGAAAGGACAAGAGATGAAGAGCAGTGAAGGTACAGCGAGCCAAAAAAACTCTTCAAGGAAAGATTTTTTAAAAAGAAGGGTAATTTAATCAGCTGTTTTACCCACTTTGAGATTTATTTACAATATCCACGGGAGCTGAGGGGGAAGCACATCTGCAGCACGGGCTGCTGTCTCTTGGGCTCCGTCTCCAGGCAATCTGCGTCCACGTGGCAACAAAGAGGTGATGGCTGCAGGGGGGGGCCCTTAACGTCGCGCGGAGGAAACCTCGTTGAGTTATGGACGTCGCCCTTGATGTTACAGCCTTGTGAGTGCACTAAAGTCGACGCCGCCTGCAGATGTAAATACGGTGATTTGTCGTCGAGTGTTTTAGGAACGCGTCGCTTTGAGCGCGGGCTCATATATTTGAGGAAACAAGCCTCCTCTCATTGATCCCTCTTTGATTCATGGCAACGTTGTGAAGATGTATTGCAGCTTAATGTCTTGCAAAATGTATCTTTCACCACAAGGCAGCTGACAGCATCGATTCACGGCGTGATGGTGGACGGGCCGGATGTCCGGTCTGAATGTGGGCGAGCAGTAAGTATCTTTGTCCTAAGTTCCACTAAGGACGATGTCCCGCTGCTTCAAAGAGAATAGATTTCTTAAACACCTCACAGTGAGGGCTTTGTGCGGCGTGAAGCTTGAGGTGTTCTCACACTAAACAAGGTGAAGTCAACGCTAAATGGCTTTACTTGTACAAAGCTTTTCTAGTCACTTGGTGTCCAGAGTCAATTGGTCATTGCATATAGAAGAAAGGGACCCGGGGGGGGGGGGGGGGGGATTTTATGGAGAAACAAACTCTATGGAGGACATATTCTCGGATGTTGAAAAAAGCAAATCGACCGAAAAGGAAAATACAAATTTGCCAGGATTACTTATTATCGAAATCAGAAACGTAAAATAAAATTATGAAATCAACCCAGCTCTCTTAATGTGTTTTAAATTTTATTTTTCTTACCCACAGCTTCATCTTTATTTGACATACTTCACGTGGCTGAAACGCATCCATGGAGCTGGTGTATCCTCACAGTGCTACCTGATCCAGCCCGGACACTTAGTCAGGACACGAAAACGGCTAATGTACTCTCTCCCCCTGCCTCCCCCCCCACCTCCCTCCCTCCCTCCAATGCGCCATCTCTCTTCTTCTCTATCTTTTCCTCCCTCGTCCCCACCTCTCTTAGCTGAGCTCTCTAATGACTTTGGTTTCAAACGCTGTCTATTTCTTCGCAGGGGGGGCGGGGGGACGGGGGGGGGCACATTGTTTATCAGATCAGCATGCAACTCATCTTCCTCCCGAGCCACCGCTCCTTCCAGCGATTCATCCCCGAAATCGAGTGGTGCTGTATTTTGGTTTCAAACGGAACAAAAGCCCACAACTACACACACGTGGCCTGGATGCTCTCATTGTGTGTATGTGCGTGTGTGTGTGTGTGCGCGTGCACTCGGTGGGGCATTAAGCAGGTATCAGGTTGTGTTTCCATCTGCTCCAGGGAGGGCTCTGATAGTCCTATTATTTAATCTGCTGGTCATTCTAGACGCCAGGCAGGAGCCGTTTGGCTGGACGTAATTGAATGGTTCAGTGGGGGGGATCACCGTGGCGGCCTGCGTGCGCGGCGTGCCAGGCCGGTACGCTCGCACAAAAAAAAACTGAAACACAAAAGTTTCAGCTATTTCTGCAGGCAGCAAACTGAAGGAAAAAGAGTCATTTGTTATTGTAGGAAGATGAAAGCAAAGAAAAGTTTCTCCAGTGCGTATTAAACCAAATCCGCTTCAGGAGGAGCTAATTTACTTTGTTTTGTTTTATGAAAAAAGACACTAACTTGAAACAAGGCGGTTGAGTCATAACAAGATTTCACTTGGAATTTCTTCAAAACAGCGGAGGCTCAATCCACTTTGTGTTCTATCTTTGGCAGTAACGTATGATTTACAGACGGCACTAGATTGACTTCGGATGAATCCTAACTATTTTATCTCAACTCTGCATGTCCTCCTGTCTTTTATGACTTCCACCGCTGAGATGTTTGTAGCGAAACAAAAGAAGAAAATGATGCCAATAAGTCGTGCGGCGCTTCACGTGTACAGAAATAGACTTTTTGTTTCTCAGCGCCCACTCGGATCCTTGTGCTGCGTTTCCGCAGGCTTGTACGTTGTAATGTGGAGTATGAAGTATTCAGAGCAACGTTGTATCTACCAAAACTGATTATAGAATTTAATGCTGGAATCTGCCACTCACGACTGTTTTTGCACTACATTGAGAGCCTCTACATTCTTTTAAATATGTCCCTAATAACTGTTATTAGTTGATATTATAACTTTCTTTTGCTACGGTTTTATTTAACACTTACGATTCAGCAGTATTTCCGAAAACAAACACACAAGTTGCTTTTTTCCCTTTGCCTTTGGACAAAGTTAGGGGCAAATACACGTCTTTAATTCACTAACCCTGAATCCATTTATTATGCAAGAAGCCGTGACACAGATTTTGGGGTCAACTCCGCTGGTTGAAATCCCCCAAAAAAGTTTCACAGTTGTTATATTTATATTTAGCAACTATTTCCCACGAAGGTTTCAGTCCAGCGAATACAACCTCCCGGTCTGTTATTGCGTGTCAAAGGTCAAATCACCATCTGCCGTCAGTGGAGACCATCCGTCTTCGTTGTCCGTCCTCCCTCGGAGTTTCCCAGGGAAAAGTGCAATCATGGTTTCTTTTATAAAGGAGACTTTCACTCTCGATAATTCGGTTTGAAAAACTCCAGGCCTTTGAGAATTTAACTTCAGAAAGCAGCAGATATGTATTACAATCTTAAAAATGTCCATCTTGACAAAAGGAAACTATTTTCTTTCAACCAGAAGTGAGAGGCTGGAGAAATGTTAGAATTAACTTTCATGAATATTCTACTTTACGGTTTGTTTTATGGACATCTACTAAATAAACATGATACAAACATTGAAGAAGACATGAAACCATAAATGAGGCCATAAATTCAGGTTGACAATGTAGAAGTGGAGTCAACTTCTCAGAGACGTCTTATACACTTGTACCATCTTTGGCAACACAATCAGGAGTTGCCTCTGGAGGCCAACAGAGGCAACGTCAATTCAAGGCTTCACTGATCGCCGACCTCTTCGAACACCGGAAGATCTACACAAATGAACACGTTCAGGTCGCCGCGGGGTCATCGGGTTAGTTTTATAGCTCTGCAGAGCTCTAGTGCACTAGAGCGTATCCCAAAGGTTTGTTTGCGTTCACCTTGAGCTACAGCGCACTGCGCCGTTGATTCCGAAGGCCTAAGAGCAGAATTCCTGGACCCCGGCAACACATGATGGCTGAAATATGAGCAACCAGGAGTAAAGCTATGACACACAGACAATGACACAGGGAGCGGTCAGCCGTCTCCTGGCTGATCCCCGCTCGCTGGACGCGTCCACCGCCCCTCCTTCACGTCGTCCTCGTTCAAGGTGACGTGGATTGCTACGAATGCTGGATGCCACCAGCCGGACTCAAACATATGACCAGTACATTGCAGGGTCCACAGGGTCAAAAATATAAAAGAAGGCTACTTACTGTAGGGGACACACTCATATTGGACCTCCAGGTACTTGTATGTGCCGGGGCAGGGGTCGGGGAAGACATCGGGCCCGGCCACCACCGCGCACTGCGTTCGGTTGTTGCATCTGTCGCAGGAAGAGACGCACACGTCAGCTGAACGTCACACAAGGGATGATGAGATAAAGTATATACTCAACGCAGCACTCGAACGCAGACACGTTATATACGGCGAGATGTGTTTTATCCCCCTCATTCAGGGCTCGAGAGTCCTCCGCGTTTGAGGACCCTTTAGGTTGACAAAAGAGCAGACAATGTGTCCTTACTGGTACACCTGGAGTGCGCATTACACTAATGGAATCCTTGAGCTGGTCCACAATGGCGAGGGAAGAGCGGCAGCGCCAGGACACTTGTGCTCTGTGTGTGCAGCAGTTAGAACAACGACCTATGGCTTTAACAGCATTCGGCTCCAGACTCCTGATAATTAATTTGAATCATCAAGGGAGGGGGGGCTCCTCTCCTCTGACACACTAAAAGTAAGTATTCCTCGCTGTCACTAACGCGGCTTGGCAGCACGCTGTGCGCCTGTGGGGGTTCCTGTTGTCATGAGTGGACAGTAGATGAGCGGCTATAAAAATTGCACACGTGACATTTATGTGATGGTGATTAAACACGCTGCAGGCCTCCTCACGGGCAGAGATGATTTGACAGCCATACATTATAGCAATAGAAATGGTGCCACTTTGTCTCGGTGACCCGTCCTGGTTTCAATAGTTCATTGAAACGACGCGAGTGAAGCACGGCGTCGCGCGCGGGACCTAAGGCCCTAATTCAAGAAGGCCGACCATTATTTTCTTTCAATTAGTACAACTCTCCCGCCTGTCCCTCTTTCCCGGCGCACCTGTCAAACAGACGACATTTACATTTAACAAAGAATCCTCCATCGAGGTTTTTGTTTTTTTAATGAGCGCGCCGAAAGCCCCTCAAGTCTCTTTTCTTACAGTATCGTTCCATTTTGCATAATGGAATATGCATGAGCGCTAATTCAGTTTTCAGTTCAATATTACCTTAAAAACACCGAGAGCGAATGTAGAAGGCGCGTGCATCGGCGTGTATCGCTGGCGTCTGAGGTCAAAGCGAGAGGGGTTAAGTTGAAAAGGTTTCAAACTCCTGTGTGTCGCGCCGCCTGTCAAAGCCTAACAACAATACCGCCACCCTCCCTTCCTCCTCCTCCTCCTCTTTCTTTTTTCTCGCCTCTGTGCTTTTTAATTTCTTGCCCGGGTGCCTTTCATCATCGGTCACCTGTCATCAGTGGAAGGTGTGGACTGAGGGGGGGGGGGGTGTGTAGGGACGGACAGACAAACTGACGTGCAACGGAACACATGACCGCCGGACGCGACTGGCATGGCTCACAGTGACGCAGAGCGCAAAAGCCTATCTGATGACATCACACACAGCACTGCCCCTTTGCCCCTCCTGCAGTTATGACGTCATCACGCCGCGACTAGTGCTCCGTGTTTCTCTCAAGGCGTACTCCCCCAAAAAGTCATCTTATAGGAGGAACAAAAGGCCAACTGATGGATGCGTCTGAGACTTGGAGCCGACATGATGTCTGTGTGTGTGTTTGCGTTTTGTTTCTGTCTCGTACTCCCCCCAAAACGAAATAAAAAAACAAGTCCTGAAGAAGCGAAGGTTATTGACTGGTATTTAAAACCGGGGTTATAGAGCAAATAATCAACATAATCTCCCTCTGCTATCGCCCCCTCTGCCACCGGCTATTTCTGTCTGCGCCACCTTCCTTTCTCCCTCCGTCACCCCGCACTCTTCTGAGCCAAGATAATAAACCAATTTCTCCCCCGGCCTTTGTCTTCATCCGAGCCCGCCGAGGAATCACTCGTCTCCGTTCCCCCCGTCTTTGTCTCTCATTCCTACCGTGTGTTTATCTGCCTTAAACCCACTTAGACACCCAGATATATGCGGCGGGGCCCTTATTGCATGGCTTCCTTCTCCCTCCGTGTCGGTCCTCTCTCTCCCTCTTCCCAATATCCCTCCCGCCTCCCCCCCGAGACGTCACCTCCAGCCTCCCGCGGTTCCTCCCTCGATCCATCCTCAGCTGACATCAGCGTGACCGCCTGAGCCAGCAGTCAGATCCAAAAGAGACTCCTCGTGTCCCCAGTTCCTGCGTCTCCTTCTCTTTCTGACTCTCATTCCGGCACAACGAAACACCTGAGAAAAAGCCCGTTCACTTCACGTGAAAGCAGATTACCTCTTTAAAACCTTTAAAAACGTCCCCTACACATTCGTTCAAACCCAAACAGCGCTTTGTTTTTTCGCTGTGTGGTTTCTCTTACTGTTGGCAGACATCTTTTTTTTAATTGGTATGACCACATCAAAACAAGGCAGTGGCCTGGATGCCGCCTTCGCCTGCTGGCTTTCTTCCCCGCGCCGAGCACCGCGCGCACGGCTGGCTGACAAAAGCCGATTCCGCGGCGGGCGGGGAGGTGGATGGGGGGCCGCCGCTCGTCTCTGATGTCTTATCATATCACCCCGTCTCGTTCTCCGTCTCCGCGTATGAACACCGCCGGCTGATGTTTTGATGAGGCTGACGGAGTGCGCTCGTGTGCGCGTGCACGTGCGCTAGCATCCGGAGGATGTGTCTGGAAACTATATAATTACCGAGAGTTAATCCTCGTGAGCTGAAAGAGGTGTCTGAGAGTCAGAGATGCAGCATCCGAACGAAGTTGGAATGGAGTCGGAGCCCTGTGAGCGCGCTCACCGCATGCGAGAACTCGCTCCGTCCCCCTGCAAAACGTGTAACAGCTACGTTGTGGAACGTGGTATTCTCTCTCACGCTTTTAGGGAGAACGCTTCGTTTGCAACTAGGTCACGTGAATATCAACTTTCCCTCCGCCAAAAAAAGAAAATGGCGGACTGTCGGTCTATTATCTGTGAAAAACACAATATTTTAAGAAAGCATCAGCATTTGTATGCATTTAGATGGCATTTCTAGCGGGAAGTATATGGGGCACCGTTTGTAAAATGTCGCATGTTTTACATTTAGATATAACATTTAGATGTACAGTTCACATTTAGATTTAACATTTAGATTTACATTTAACATTTAGATTAAACATTTACATTTAAAATTTACATCTAACAACTTTGAGTTACTGCCAAACATTATCCTTGCAAAAGTTATTGCATGAATTTACATGAATTTCTCTCGAAATGTTTGAAAAAGTGACAGATGAATATTGTCGTGCTTTTTTGTTCATATGATGCTAAATGTAGCAAAACTGCGCAGGATTTTAGAACGTGCAACATCTAACAAATGGCGCCCCATAGAAGTATGCGTTATATTTAATTTAGAAAAGCATTTCACTTGTGTAAAACGGGTGGATTGCTGTCTGCGGGTGGGGACGGAGTGCGTACTGCAAGTATCTCGGAGCAGATTGTAGATAGAAAGTAGAAACAGAGCTCACAGCAGGGGATGTTTTAGGGCGGGGCTTCTTTGCAAATGGCAGGTCGCTACTGACGCGTTTTGCGTGTTTTCTTCTAAATCATTTCACGCTTTCACAGTGTTTTTTCACTGTAACATTTTTATGTTTATTTTACATATTTGACTCGGATCTGTTGTTATTTTTCGAAAAACAGTGTGAAGTCACATTGAAACAAACTTGAGTCCCAATTTGGCCACTTGGCAACACTTGTTTGTTGATACACCTCATGATTTTTGATTTTTACTTTACAATTGTGGGAGAGAGAGAGGCACTTGGTCAATTCAAAAACTGAAGTTTCAGTGGTGTGAGGGACAGTGAGTAGTAATATCGTTACTCCTCCACACATAACATCGCACTCATGAAATAATGTGAACAAGCCGACAAACAAATCTGATCTGAACAACAAATCGGGTTTGGTCTGTTGTGTGCTGTGTGAAACATCGATGGCTGAGCTCATTGAGAAATGTCTTCAGCCTCTAGAGTTGTTTGACAGTCGGGACATGCGGGACACTGTGGGGTAACAAACCAGAAAAATATATAGCAAGCATAAGATAAGCAATTCTATGTCAAGCGTTACTCACGTGTGTGATAACATTTTCTTTTCACCAAGAATACATTGAATTTTTTCTCCTTTCTAAAATCTGGAGGCCTCGAGAGATTATTCCTTAACAAATGAAATGCTTCCAATATTTTCTCCACTGTTTACGGTCGATGAATGTAGCTGCAGTTTGATTTGAGGCAATAAAATACAGCATTAGGCAGCATTTAGTTCCACACACTAAATACAATTTGTTATAAACCCTTATAAATTGCACTGTTACAACAGTCCATAAAGAGGAAATTAATACAGCATCATTATGAGGCGAAAAATCCAGCATGCTGTAAACCCAATTTTGGGCTCTTCAAAATAAGTTGAATTGAATTGAAACTAAACAATACATTATAAACAATATAATTCTAATAAAATCTCCAGACTGAAATAAAGCAGTTGGTAAAAATATAAATACACATTTGGTGAAGAACAACAGGAAGCGGGTCGGGATAATTTCGCAGGGCTCTTTGTGTCCTCGGGGAGTTCAGGAAACCCATTTGACAGCAGAAAGAGCAGAGTTACTGTATCTGGCTGCAGGATAAAAAGCTGTTAGCCCGGCCGTACACTCTCTCACGCACACACCACACATAAGATTCCTCTACTGCTGCTCTCATTTCTGCTTTTATTAGCTCCCTGATGTGGTTATCACACACACACACACACATAGTAGTAGTGCTATCCGACGATGGACAAATGGAATGATGGAACCGATGGAGGGATGCAGAGGAACAGGGATGTAGTGAGTAATTGAGGAGTGATGCAGGGGTTTGTGATGGATGGCAGTAAAAGAACAGGAATGAAGAGACAGGCGTGTGTGTGTGCGTGTTTTTCTATACAGACGAATATATACGTCGCCAGCACCACAACACACAATGCTTATGAAGAAGAGGACAGATGCTTCTCTTTCTCCCACACGCACTCACACAAACAAACAGCAACACACTCCCTGCATGTCAGCTCGCCAGCAGCCTGTCAGACGAGCCACAGGTAAAATAAAGTTGTGCTCCCCACAGAAAAAAAATATCTTTGAAATGTG